GAGGAGGAGGAGGAAGAGGAGGAGGAGGAAGAGGAGTTGAGCTTTGTGAATTGAGGAGCCATGATAAAGGAGAAGGAGAAGTTGAAGGCGAGCTGGCGGCCGCAGGGGTCCTGCGGGGACGACAAGGTGAAGAGCGTGACGAGCGGCAGCAGCGTCACGGCGCCCCACGCCCCGCGCACTCCCGGGCTCACCAGCAAGGCCTCAGGGGGCACATCAGACGTTACTGGTTCACTTGCTGCCGCGCTCACCCCAGCAAAGCCCCCAGCAGCAACCTCAGCGTCGCGAGGAACCACATAGACCTGGTCTCCAAACAAAGATGCAGAGCCCTTGAAGCGCAGAGAGGAAGAATCCACGAGCGAGAGCACCAACGACACACTCCGTGATTCCGGCATGCAGGCAGACGCACTCCCTGGCGCCACGCGGGTCACATACCCCTCCTCACACTCACACACGGGCTTCCCTGCCTTGTCCATCCGGCATGTTCCCGCACCCGAGCAGGGTTTCTGGTACGGGGAGATGAGACCGCAGAAGGCGAGGCAGGCGGCAGGGGGACGCTGGGGGTGGCGCGCGCAGCGGAAGGAGGAGGAGGGGGGTGGGGGGTACGAGAGGCAGTTGGAGCGGAGGGAGAGCGTGGCGGGGCAGGAGGAGAGGGCGGGTTGGCCGTAGAGGTAGTTGTTGTCTAGGAGGAGAGTGGCGAGGGATGGGGGCCAGTCGGACGGGAGGAAGCCGGTAAGCTGATTGTTGCGCAGGTTGCTGGTGGGATGGGGTGGGTGGAGTGGGGGGGGAAAGAAGAGAGAGGGGAGGGGAGGAGGGGAGGAGGAGGAGGAGGAGGAGGAGGAGGACGAGGAGGAGGAGGAGAGGTGAAAAAGGGAGGAGAAGAAGTTGGTTGTAGATTCACGTAAAGAACGTAGAAAGTAACGGCAATCAACCAGTAAGGCAAGGACAAGCAGGAGGGGACAAGTAGGACGGGACAAGGAGGGGACAAGAAGGAGGGGACAAGTGGGATGGGATATAAAGCAAGCAGAAAAAAGAGCAGGGATATCTCCTCATATCAGCGTTTTCCAAGCTCTAGCAAGCACCAAATCTACCTCTCCTTCCCTCTTCTTCGCCTTACACCATCTTCTCGCCCTTCCTCTCTCACCCTCCCTCCCATCTCCTCCTCTTAAAAAATCCTCTCCAACATATGCTAGCCTATCCTAACTGCACGAGGCAACTCAAATTTTCTCCTACAACACACCCTCTTGAACTTTCACCACCGTTCCTAACCTCTCCTTCCTTCCCCGTGCTCGCCTTGCTGGTGCTGCCTAATGGTATGGCTCGCTTCTGATAAGACAGGCGAGAAATTGGCAGGAGGATCGAGATGCTGAGAAGAGGGGTGACAAGAGTGAGAAGAGCAGCTGGAAGAGGAATGGGGAGAGGAGTGGGGAGAGGAGTGGGGAGAGGAGTGGGGAGAGGAGTGGGGAGAGGAGTGGGGAGAGAAGTGGGGAGAGAAGTGGGGCGATGATTGGGGAGAGAAGTGGGGAGAGGAGTGGGGAGTGGGGAGAGGACTGACAGCAGCTGGAGTTTGGTCAGTGTGGTGAGGTTGAGGGGAATGGGGCCGTAGAGCTTGTTGTTGCTCAGATCCCTGCTCGCCATGCACACACAAACACACATGCAGGCAGTGCAGTGCAGTGCAAGGCGGTGTAATGCATGGGAGGGTAATGCATGGGAGTGCGATATAATGCATCATGAGAACACGGAAGTGAGGAGCCAAGTTGCATGGCGCAGGTACGCATGGATCATGCGTGTGATGCCAAACAGAGCAGCAATGTGAGGGGTATGGCGCACCTCTCGCCTCTCGCCTCGCCTCTAGTGAGGGTGGACGGGCCACTAGTGAGAACTCTCAAACGAGCCACTTTCACGAGAGAGGCTTTGGATAATCTCACAAATATATCAGAACTGCTTTCGGGGAACTCTTGCAACGGCTCTCAAGGGAGGGGTTCCCTCGAGCAAGCGCGCTCACAGTTGCTCGAGTGCAGAGAGGTTGGCAACGGAGGCAGGCAGTGAGCCGGTGAGCTGCTTGCGACTCAACATGCTGCTTGTGGGACGACGACAGCCCACACGCACGCATGCACGCACGCACGCCGCGTGTTGAGAAGACGGGAGAGCCAGCGCAGCACAGCACAGCACATGCAGGAGGGGGAGAGTGGAGCCCAACAGCCCAGTAGCCCCGCAGCAGCACAGGCAACAGCGTAGACCCACGCACGCACGCATGCGGCGTGTTGAGGCGATGGAGAGCAAGCAAGCAAGCAAGCACAGAGCACGCAGGCGGACCGGCATGTAGGAAGATGGGAGGGGGGGAGGCGCGCGGTGAGTGTGGGGAAGGGGGGCAGAGGGAAGGGGACGTGGCAGGGAAACGGGGAAAAAAGGAGACGGAGCGGAGGGGGGTGGAGAGGGGGAATTGGGGTAAGAAGGAGAGAGGCATGCGATACAGCATAAGTTAAGGGTCAATAAGCAAGATGCTAGGACCGTAGGCGTGAATGCATGAATGCATGCAACACGGATTCCGGATCAGAACCATATGTCACCCCATGCGATGCTATGCCATGCCATGCCATGCCATGCCATGCCATGACATGCCAGGTCGTGCCAGGTCATGCCACGTCACGTACAGCTTCTGCACGTTGCCATTCTTGTCGCACGTCACTCCCGACATCCGCGCGCACTCTCTGCCGCTCTGCCACGTGGCACTCCCCGGAAACGCGCCCCACTGCGCCTTGAGATCCGCCAGCACCGCCACTGCGCGCCGATTCGAAAAGACGAAAGTCCCGCGCACGGGGGAAGGCGGAGATGGGAATAATGGTGGAGGGGAAACGGGAGCACGGGAGGGATTGTCGGGGGGCAGGCAAATGCTGATATGCTGACGAGGAAGGGAGGGGGTGGGCGGAACTCAGTCAGGAAGTTCCGAGAATTGTAAGAAGTGAAAGCGGAACGCGGTCAGCGGAGACCGGGGGCTGGGAAAGGAAAAAAAAGGTGATAGTAGTACTATGGGCTTGGAGAAGTTTTATGGCAAACGATGCAAGGGTGAGACGGAAGGGGAAGGGGAAGGGGAGGGAGGGGGTGTGGGGAATACGAAGAGGAAATGAGGCAGTACCGGGTGGGGATGTAGATGATCCGACGGCGAGAAGCATGGGCTCTAGTAGTAGCTCTCTAGGTTGCACTAGTAGTTTCCCGATGGGCTTACTGTCTGCGTCGTTTATGATCTGCGCGGCGGAGGCAAACAGCGAATGATGCGCCAACAGGCGACGCATAGGACTCCTAGTCTCCTCCCGCGGACTCCGCCGATGGAAGCTCCGCGAATTGGCGTAGCTCCGCTCCGCGGCGGTCGGTATTCTCCCTTCACCAGCTCCTCCCCCTCCTCCGCGTCCACCGCCAATTCCGCCTCCGCTGTCCGCCGTGGCTTCCCCCGGTAGTCCAAGCTCTGCCACCATGGCGTGCAGCAGCGCAAGGGCGAGCGCTGCCCGCATGAATCTGCGCGCGAGGCGGCGCGGGTCCGCGGCTTTCATCATGCATCCGATTTCTGGTTCGGAACGCAGGTCAACGGCACGACTCGAGGGTCGGTAAGAAACGGGACGGGACGGGTCGGCGGTAAGACGGATGGCGCGAGGCGGCGGTCACGGTACGTAGACGGCGGCGTAAGGCAGCGGTGCGGCGGAAGGCAGCGGCGCGGCGGAAAGTAGCGGTGCTGCGGAAGGCAGCGGTGCGGCGGATGGCGGAAGGCGGAGTGGCAAGGCGGATGCGCAAGGCGGCGTTAAGAGGATGGCGCGGCGCCAGCCTGTTTTGGTCACCCTAACACGTAGACTCTCATCCAGTGACGTTGTAGGCGCTTTTTGAAAATCCTTGAAATATTTACCGCACGACTTAGCGCAGACAAAGGCACGGATGGCACGAAGTGAATTTTGTAACATGCGGTAGTGTGTTAGGTTGCATTCCTACCTCGTGTCTGACATCAGGTCATCCGTCCTTAGAAGCTCGGAAGACCCGAAGTGGTTCAAAATAGGGGCAAATCAACATTGAGAAGAGACAAATCAGAGACTAAGGGCGGATGACCTGATGTCAGACCCGCCATAGGAATGCGCCCTTATGTCCGTGTCAGGTCAGCACAACGTGCTGAGCAGACTACGTGTGCTCGATTTGCGGCTATCATGTCAGCCGGAGCGAGGGAGACGGCCAAAGCACTAGGGTTTGGGGGGAAGTTTGCTTCGTTGGTGCGTGGGTGGTGGTTGGCAAGTCATAAATGGTGACTGCAGGGAAGGTGCTCCGCGTCTTCTCTTGCCTCCTCTGCCCGCACCTTTGCACAGAAGTTTGAAATCGGTTTGAATTGAGCATTGAAAGTGTACACTGTACTGTACGTTATTTTCATGCATCTTCCGTGACAAACCGACAGCGTCAAACACCCCACCAGACCAAACCAGAATCTTCTTCCTTGGTGAACCGACAAAAGAACCCACTAACATTCTGACACAATACACGTGCGTGGTGTGCGAGAATGCTGCAGCAGTCGGTTCGGGTGTGGTGGTGGACTGGGGATGGTGGAAGGCTTGCCTGCCCTGCTGGGCCCTCCCCTGACCCGACCTGCTCCCCCCTCACGTCGGGCCCACCAGACCGAGCCAGTCTGGTCCGGACCGAAGTTACAACACCTTCCACCCGAACGTCGAGAAAGATCGGTTCAGGAATCAATCCCAGCAACAGAGCAGATTCCCCTTCCTCCTTGCCTGCCTGATACGCCACCTCCATCTGTGATGTGCTTCAGCCGCCGGCTACTTGGTTCTTGTCCTCTTCGGAAGGGGGTGAGCGAGGAGGAAGGGACTGAGCACTTGAGTTCTGTAGCCAGGTAGGACCTATCCTCTGTTTCCCCCCTTCCGCTGACCAGGCCTCCATGAATATGAGTGTACCAAGGTGCTTGACAACTAGATTATGGCATTTTCTCTTAATAAGCACCATCAAAAGCAGTCTCCAAGCTAGATAGAGCATCTACCCCTCTTCATCTTTTGTGGATCAGGTAGGCAGATCCGAGTTCCTTGTTTCAACTTGTCTAGGCAATCATATCCGTTAATCTGCTTGTAGCAGCTCTTAATCCCTTTAAAGTACTTAAACTGGATTGTGCTGCAGCGATCGTTGTTGACAACAATGTAGAAGTTGGAGCGAGGGCAGCTCCCCGCTCGGTAGAAAGATGAAGACTGTATGCACACCTGCATTTGCAATTGCAAGACAGGAACAGGGGTCAGACACCCAGGGTGGTGACAAAGGGAAAGAGATAAGCAACTTACAGGCATGGCAACACATGAGTAAGAGCAACAGCAACAGTACCAGAATGAGCACGAGCACGAGCACGAGCACGAGCACGAGCACGAGCACGAGCACAAGCACGAGCATGAGCATGAGCCCGCACAGCCATTCTCAACCTAGAGACAGCAACCACCGCACCTCGAACCCAGTAGTTGCGCCCACGCCATTAGGCGGCACGAGCTCATCACAATTAATCCCGGGGTTCAGCCGGTAGAAGTCAAGGCGGGAGAGAGGCGGCGACGGCACGTTACGGATCGCCTCACAGGTCTCCCCGCCTTGCACCATGTACGTCTGAGAGCACACTGGCACCATCGCATCCCCACCACCACCGACAGCAGGTGAAGAGTCCCGCTCCACGCACACCACTTGGCCAGGAGACAGGGCTCCGGCGTTGGTGGTGGTGCAGTCAACGCCGGGGTTGAGTGCTTGGAAGGCCTCTACACATGGCGAGCCGGCGGGGTTGCAGGAGTCGTCGAGAGAGAAGAATTTCGCCACGGAGAGGCACGTGTCGCCCTGCAGGGAGGAGGGAGATGCAGGGAGGTGGGGTTTGTGGCAGATGGGGTAAGTGAAAATGGATATGAAGGGGGAGGGTGGAGCGCGAAGGTGAAGGGAAAAGGATGGAAGGGAGCGTAGGAGAGCGGCAGAATAGGGATCTGCCTACCTGCACCGCAGTGTAGAAGACGGTGCAGAGCGGCAGCGAGGAGGTAACGTTGAGTTGGGTGTTCCGAGGCAGCGGCTTGTCGCAGTCGACGTGCTTGTTCTGTGCCCCGAACTGAGCCAGAGTGAGACCGTACATGCCGTGCACGTCCGCGCATGTTATGCCGTCTGCCATCACCGTGTAGGTGCCGTTGGTGCTGCCTGTCACGGAGAGGGGGCAGGGCAAGCGGAGCAGGGGACAGAATGAGATAGCTTCTGAGAATCCTCAGAAGCCATGCCGTGCACGTCCGTGCATGTTATGCCATCTGCCATGACCGTATAGGTGCCGTTGGTGCTGCCTGTCATGGTGAGGGGGCAGGGCAAGCGGAGCAGAGGAGCAAGTGAGGAGGGCCACTTTTTAGGCGCCTCAAAAGCACGTCCGTGCATGTTATGCCGTCTGCCATCACAGTGTAGGTCCCGTTGGTGCTGCCTGTGATGGTGAAAGGGCAGGCAGAGCAGGGAAGCGAGTAAGGAGGACCATTAGCCTTACTTCCAGCGATAGGTTGGGGGAATGCAAAGAGGAAGAAGGGGGTTGGCTCATGACTTGCTGTAGTTGCAGTCGGGGAATGCTAGGGCACGAGGGGATGATGAGCTAGAGAGGCGCAATGCATCGTGATACGGCACTCAAGGCAAACGTTCGGAATCCTTTTGCAAAGAGGGAGAATAGGCGTTTCCCAAACAAGGCCGCTTACAAAACCACACGACCATGCCAAGAAGACTCTTGTTTTAACTGCTCATAGAGAAGTATTCTTGAGACTCATTACACATTAGAGCCTGTGATGATCTGTGGTTCTTCATGAGGGCGTGATTGCCTGTCAAAACAGAAACAACCCTACATTGCAAATCCTCGTGGCAGTTCAAGAGCCGGACATACAGCGGGTACAAAAGCGGTTAGAGCAGAGGCGAAGGTACCTGGAGCACAAGAGAAGGTGCCATCGACGGTGGTGCCCTGCCTGAAGCCCGGTGGACACACACACGAGTACAACCCCGCCCCGTCATTCACACACGTTCCCACCGCACACGGATTGCCATTGCTGGACCCGCACACGTCCACTGCAGTGACGGAGAGGCGGAAGGCGGAAGGGTAAAGGAGAAATATTCGGATGGTTACAAAGCTGTCAGCACTGGCAGCTGTCAGCAATGGCGGCCTGCACTCCACTCAAGCAAGGGCATAGCATGCCATCCGCATCCAATCAGCAAGGCATCACCGCACTGCATCCCGCACTGCATCCCGCACAGCATCCCGCACAGCATCCCCATAAGCATCAGTGCCCTATATGCTCTTCTCGTAGTCTCTTCTCTGTGCTCACTCACCGTATGCGCATGTTCTGGAGCCGTCCGCATTGGTGGCCTGCACGAACGGCAGCGTGCACTCGCACTTGTTGCGGGCGCCGTCCCGCACACACGGGAAGCCCCCGCACGGATTCAACACCACCCCTCCCCCACCGCTAGATCCCCCTGCACCTGCTGCTGTGCTGGCACCGTTGCATGGGTCAGTTGAGCCTGGAGGAAAGGGTAGTGGTTTTTCCATGATGTGGAAAGAGAGCAAGCAGTCGAGAGAGGCGTGTGAGAGGGGAAGGAGGAAATAGGAATCAGTACAGGGATTCGGTAGGCGAACTGGGATGGGAAGTTCTTCTGGTCTATTTGCAAGGGAAGTCAGCAGGACAGCACACCGCATGGCACAGCATGGCACGGCAATCCAACGCAGCAGGAAACCACACCGAATGGTACTGCTCCCACACCCCGTGGCTTGCACTCTGACTAGTGATTTTACGAGGAGATTTGAAGCAATACCTACCTCCTTCCCTACCCTGGTACGGAATGAATCATACCATATCATCAAAGCACACATACGATCGAAAAAACATACTCTTTACAACAGGATAGAGGCCCGGCAGAGTGTTGATGCCGCACACACCATCCCCCCCCTGGATGTCCATGCGCATGTGTCCCCCATCGCCCCAGTCCGCCCCCCATGAGTTGCGGATGATCCAGAAGGGCGGCGCCATGTGGGGGAAGGCGTCATCTATCCCAACCAGGCGGTACCCCACCAGCAGCACCACGTGGTTCAGGTTGTACGTGAAGCACGCTGGGTCCTGGTACTTGGCAAACTGGCGGGTACAGGAGGCAGCATGAGAGGGTTTAGGGAGTTGAGTTTAATCAGGAAACGTAGCGTTTTTCTGCCTTTGGATGGATGGATAGATGGATGGGTGGGTGGATAAAAAATCAGAGAGAGGGACACAGCCACTCACCCCATCGTAGTTCACGAATGTGTCAGCAGACGCCTCTATGTGCACCACCACTGGCTGCCGCTGCACGGCCAGCAGCAGCCCAAACCAGCCGTAAAAGGACGTGCGCTCAAAGCCAACAATCCTCAGGCCTTTCTGCGACTTGTTCTGCTTGCACATGCACACACACGCACACACACGCACAAACATGCGAGTGACAAAGTTGGCACGAGAAGATGCTAACATACACGAGTGAACAAGTTGGCACGAGTGACAAAAACACCTCCTTACAAGCACATCTGTAAGCCCAATACAATAACAGGCCAGGCAGCCTAAGTGGAGTGACAACTCTTCCTCTCTTCATCCACCCGCTCCCACGTTTGCCTCCCCCACAAGTTCCCGCACCCCTCCAAACCCCATCCCCCACGCCCCTCCTTTCGTTACCCTCCTGCTACCATGCACTCAATTCCCTCTCCCACAATCTCCTTTCTCACGCTTCTCATTCCCCCAAGCGCACCCACCTTGCCCTTGCCCTTCTTCCCCCGTGTCCGCCAACGCATCAGAGCCCGTTTCAGCCTCTCAATAAACGACAACCGCTGCCTTTGCTCCACCCACCCGCCCCCTCTCCCTCCACCCCTCCCTCCGCTCGCAGCCTTCCCTCCCACCCCTCCAGCCGCTCCCTTCCCTTCCCCACGGCTTCCAGCAGGCACAAACTGGCTCTCCTCTACGAGCCCTTTTCCTGCCTTGCCCACGAATGTGAGGTACTGGAAGGCCACGAAGGGCGAGCCTCCGCTGCAGTCCGCGCCCACGTCCCTGCGCAGCTGCTCCACTGACAGCAGCGGTGCAGAGTGGTTGTGAAGGATGGCGTGCGCTGCCTCGATGCTCTGCACCACCCCGTACGCCCAGCAGTCGCCTGGAAGGTAAAACAAGGGGGAGGAGGGAAGGCAGGGGCGGAGAAGGGGTAAGGGCAAAGGATGAGAAGGGGGGGATATGATGGGAAAGAATGGGAGGGAGGGAGGGAGGGAGTGAGGGAGGGTGGTGAGGGGGGCAAAGAGGGGGAGATTGCAGAGGGGCAACTATACAAGGGCTTGAGCCGAGGAGCAAGGATAGGTCAAATGAGAGAGAGCAGGTAACGGAGGGCAGAGAGCACTGACCGCAGGTGCCTTGGTCGCGGATCTCCAAGTGCAGCGACGGCTGCAGCCACGACTGGCCCGCGCTCACCACCCACGACTCCTCCTGCACCGCCGCCGCCCCCCCTCCCTGCTGGGACTGAGTGGCAACTCCCGAGGGGGGCTGGTAGCCGACGCTGGCGTAGCGGAAGTAGGGGTTCACTGGCGCTGACGCCACGCGCTTGCTCTCCAGCACCAGGCCCAGAGGGAATCCTGGTGGAGCCGGGAAGGGGGACGGGGGATGGAAGGTGTGTGTTTTGGGAAGGGGGGTGGAAGGAGAGGAGGTTTGAGGCGGTTGTTGAAACGGAGGTGGCGTAGCGGAAGTAGTGAGGCCCAGCGGGAACCCTGGTAGTGAGGTGGTGGAAAGGGTGCAGGGGGAAGGGGGCAGGAGGAAGGGGGCAGGAGGAGGGGGCAGGGGGAAGGGTGCAGGGGGAAGGGGGCCCCGGGCAGGTGGAAAGGGGAAGGGGAACGGGAAAGGAGGACAGGAGAAGTGGGCAGGGGAAAGGGGAATGGATGATGTGTGTGTGTTGGGAAGGAGGAGGGGAGGAGAGGAGGTTAGAGGCGGCTGTTGAATGGAGGTGGTGATATGGATTTCGGGAGGAAGGGAGGAAAGGAAGAGGGGCAGGAAGGGGGGTGTGGTTGACAGGGGATGGGAAAAGAGGAAGAGATTTGCAAGGGAGCTGCACATACCTGTCGTGATCTGACGGCTGGGGAAGCCTGTACCGTGCAACCAGACATGCACACGCACAGTGACACACACATGGACACATGCACACGTACATGCACAGGCACACGCACAGGCAGGCACACACGCACAGACACACGCACAGACACACGCAAAGAGACATGCACAGGCACACAAGGAGGTGAGACAACACATGGTAGCACAGCTGGGCTGGTAGCACAGCTGGGCTGGTAGCAACCAACTGTGTGCTTTCAATCTCAACGCAAGCGCCATATTGACACCTCACATTTTCCACAAGCATAGACACACGGGGTCTGCAAGAGAAGAGCCGCTTCCACACTCACCATGCCTTCCGCCTCCCCTTCATCCTCACTCACATGGATTAACTCTCTTCCACTCGTTATCCTAACACCCCTTCACTTTTACTTCTCTTCTCGCCCATCCATCACCCACCCACCACCATCCACGCAGCCACCACCCATACACCACCCCCCCCACCACCACAACCACCAGCACGCACCAGTCACAATGCTCCACGACAGAATCGTCTGCTCCTGCGGCGGCTTCTCGGACGCGCCCACAAACCCAAAGTAGTACGAATCACCACTCAGCGGCGGGCTCACTCCTGGCTTCAGCACCTTCCACAGCGCAATCTTCACGCTCAGCACTGGCTCTTTCGGCCTGCCATCCTTGGCAGCAGCATCGGCAGACGACAGATACACCTCCAGCACCCCGCCCTTCAGCGGCGAGTACGTCACCCACGCCTGCTTCTCCTCCCCGTCGTTTAGAATGAGCGACGGCGGGAGGGTCGCAGTGGCGAGGGAAGTGGTCGACCCAGCAATGTCAACGCCGATATGGTTGTCGCTCGGGTCGTTGGTCGCTGCGTCCTTCCGCGTGTCAAACTCCACTGCCACGCTCCGTGCGTCCATGCCTGCGTACCCCAGGTCTGTGACCCCGGTCGACCCCGCGGGGCCGCTTGGCGGCATGGCACTGGCTGAGATGACGAAGGCGAAGCCGCTGGTGCCGTTGCCGTTCTTTGTTGAGATGCGGAAGGAGAATTCCGCGTTGAACCCCAGCTGCCGGCCGGCTTCAGCGGCTTTCACGTCAAAGGAGAAGAGGCGGAGGGGCGTGGAGAGGAGCGCTGCGCCCCACACGGAGGGGAGTGAGGGCGTGAGCGTGATTGCGCCGTCGTCGCCGGTGAGTGACGCCTTGCCGTAGGTGAGCATGGACTTGGGGTTCTTGTTGGAGTTGAGGCTCACTGCGTTGGGGTCGACTGGTGGGAGGGAGGCCGGAGGAAGGGAGGGAGGGTGGGTGGGGGTCGGGGAGGGAGGGAGGCAGGGAGGGAGGCAGGGAGGGAGAGGGAGGGGAAGGGGACGGGGAATGCATGATTGCAAGGCGATTAAATGACCAAAACTCTCCTTTACCCACCCCACCCCCACCACACATACACACCCTCCCAGCACTCTACATACTGCCTTTGACTCAACACTAAACCCCCTTTCCCACCCTATCCCAGGCCCACAGTTGACCTCCTCCCACAGCCCCCACCACCCCTGCACGTACGTCCGTCAGCCACACACGTGCCCGGGTCCTCTCCGTTGATGTACCCCTTGTCGCACGCGCACGTGGGAACCCGGTTGGGCCCGTCAAAGTAGCAGCTCCCAACGCCCCCGCACACCACACTCTCCACCAGCATCGACTCAGGCCCCACCCACAGCCCGCAGAACGCAGCACACGCAGCGGCACTGCGCTGCCGGTACGCTCCCTCGGGAAACGAGTCCACTGGACAGAGGTACCCCGGAGGGACGGAGGAGACGGTGGGGACGGGGAGGCAGTTGGCCCAGAGGGTGGTGCCGGCGCAGTTGGGCGGGGAGAAGGGGAACCAGGCGGAGAAGAAGTTGGTGTCTAGCTGGTATTGGCGCACCGCTGCTGATGGCTTGGGAAGGATCGTGCCGTTCAGCTGGTTGTCACGGAGGAGGCTGGGAGGAGGGAGCGGGGAGGGGAGAGAATGGGGTCAGGACAGGAGGAAAGGGGGATGAAGGAGGAGAAGAAGAGTGTCGAGCTGGTATTGGTGCACGGCTGCTGATGGCTTGGAAGGATAGTGCCATTCAGCTGGTTGTCGCGGAGGAGACTGAGGGTTTAGGGGGGAGAAGAGGTGGCGAGGAGGGGAAGAACGGGTGGGGACGAGGTGGAGGAGGAGGAGGAGGAGGAGGATGAGGAGGAGAAGAGGTGGGAGGGAAAAGGAGGGGGTCAGGGCAGGAGGAGATGGATGAAGAGGGGTGAAGAGGTTTGAAAAGGGAAGGCGAAGGGTGGCGGCGGTTTTGAATATGGTATGGGCATCGCATGGTGCAGACAGGCTCAGTGAGTACAATAAACATACACGGGCAGGCAGGGGCATGGTGGCTGTCAGGCTCAATGTGACACACACGCACGCACGCACGCATGCACGCACACACATTCACACATGCACTCAAGAGAACACACACACACACGCGCACACACACACACACACACACACACACACACACACACACACACACATGCACACACGCACGCGCGCACGCGCTCACACGCACGCACTCACGACCTGACACGCTGACGGGGCAGTGTGCAGCTTACATGGCAGTGGCTTGCTGGAGGGCAGAGATGGTGGTTGGCAGTGGGCCAAAGAAGCGGTTGGAGCTGAGATCGCTGGTGGGGGGATGGAACACAAACACACACGGAGGGAGGGGAGGAGGTTTGAGACGTTTCAGAAATTGGCAGAGAGTTTTTGGCAATGAGGCAGAGAGGCGGCTGGAAGTGAGATTGCTGGGCGGGGAGAGGGAGGAGAGCGGGGAAGAGGGAGGGCATGAGTGATTCGAGGGATGGAGTCGCTTTACAGGGTTGGTGACTACATTGGGTGAAGAGGTGTTGGAGGGAGTGTGGGGAGTGAAGGAGGGCGGAGCACGGGAGGGTAGCGAGGATTGAGAGGAGAGGGGAGGGAGTGAGTATGGGAAGGACAGAGGCAGCAGATTGGGAGGAGGAAGTAGCAGCAGGGCAAGCAACAACGCAGCAGGGCAGGGCAGGGCAGGGCAGGGCAGGGCAGGGCGGGGCAGGGAAGTCAGTGCAATGTGTCGAAGTGGCTCACAGGTGCGTTAGCTTGGTTAGCAGGCCTATCTTTGACGGCAGAAAACCCGTGAGCATATTGCAGCACATGCGCCTGCCGGCCGCACAGGGGACAGGCAGGGATGGGGACGGGGAGAGGGACGGTGGCGGGGACGGGTGGGAATGGATGGTGGCGATAAATTGGTGCAGGGAGAAGAGTTGGGAGGTTAGGGACAAACACACGGAAGAGTTACTGCAGCATGGGAAGGCATGGCGTGGCATGGCATGGCATGGCGTGGCATGGCGAGATATGGCGAGGAGGCAAGGGAGGGAGTGGGAAGGAAAGGAAGCAGCAGTGGGGGTGGTGTGGTAGGAGGTGCGTGAGATGATGGAGTGGTTACGACGAGGGGGGAGGAAGGAACGTGCGGATGCATAAGAGGTCAGAGAGAAATACAAGGCTGCTTTCGACATCACGAATGCAAAACGAGAGAGAGAAAGAGAGAGCAAGAGAGTAAGAGAGAGAAAGGGGCCAACGCACAAGTCGCGGAGGTTGGTCATGGAGCCAATGGCAGCAGGGAGGGCGCCCGAGAGAAGTGTGTGATGGATGTGGCTGCAAGAGGTGGAGATGGGGGGACGAGAGCGGTGCAGTCACAGTGTGAGCAGGTGAGTCGGGCATTGGGTGGGAGGAGAGGTGGGCACCGATGAGACGAGGCAGGTGTGTCGTGCCTGGCGTGGATGAAGCTAGTCGTGCGTGCGCATGAACCATGCGTGCAGCAGCAGAGGGAGCAGCAGAGAGAGGGAGGACAACTGGGAAAGCAGGGAGGCACTTTTTGAAAGCCCTTCTTCAAGAACCGGGGCCACTTTGAAAACTCTAGGGTGGAGGCTGGCTGGCTCACTCACAGTTTGCGCAGCACAGAGAGGGAGGACCACTGGGGTGGCAGCGAGGAGGAGAAGAGGTTGTAGCTCAGATCACTGCATGCCGGCAGATGATAGGAGGCGGGGAGGGGGGGGAGAAATGACGGGGACTATTCCTGAGGCACCTCAAAAACAGGGGTTGGAGATCAGGTCACCGCATGTAGGCATGAGGTCATTATTAGGGGGCGGGGAGTGCAGGGAGAGGAATGTTTTTGGTAGGATCGGATAGTGGAGAGAATGGTGGCAGGAGGGATCGGATCGGGTGGTGAAAGGACGAGACGAGAGGAGCATGGAGGCGTGGGGTAGGCTGGTAAAGATGAAAAAGAAGGGAAGGTGAGATGGGATGAAACGTGGGTGAGGTGAAGTGAGGGGTTGAGTATTTTGCGAAGTGACGTAAGGTGAGGTGAAGTGAGGTGAGGCGAGGTGAGGTGAAGTGCGGTGAGGCGAGGTGAGGTGAAGTGCGGTGGAGAGGGAGGAGGGGAGCGCGCACATGGTGACGATGAAGGGGATATTGGCGATGGCAGCAGGCAGGTCCCCAGACAGCTGGTTGTTGGATAGGAACCTGGTGAGGGAGGGGGGTGCGCCCACAGCAACAAGGGGAGCAGCAAGGGAGCAGCAAGGGAGCAGAGCAGCAGCAAGAAAGGAGCAGAAAAGGAGCAGCAAAGCAGCAGCAAAGGAGCAGCCTTTAATACCAAGACTCTGATATAATGGACGGATCATCCAGCACAAGGTAGAAACTTGAGCACGAAATTGAGCAATGTAGGGTGTGGGCATGTGCACGAAATTGAGCAATGTAGGGTGTGGGCATGTGCACGAAATTGAGCAATGTAGGGTGTGGGCATGTGCACGAAATTGAGCAATGTAGGGTGTGGGCATGTGCACGAAATTGAGCAATGTAGGGTGTGGGCATGTGCACGAAATTGAGCAATGTAGGGTGTGGGCATGTGCACGAAATTGAGCAATGTAGGGTGTGGGCATGTGCACGAAATTGAGCAATGTAGGGTGTGGGCATGTGCACGAAATTGAGCAATGTAGGGTGTGGGCATGTGCACGAAATTGAGCAATGTAGGGTGTGGGCATGTGCACGAAATTGAGCAATGTAGGGTGTGGGCATGTGCACGAAATTGAGCAATGTAGGGTGTGGGCATGTGCACGAAATTGAGCAATGTAGGGTGTGGGCATGTGCACGAAATTGAGCAATGTAGGGTGTGGGCATGTGCACGAAATTGAGCAATGTAGGGTGTGGGCATGTGCACGAAATTGAGCAATGTAGGGTGTGGGCATGTGCACGAAATTGAGCAATGTAGGGTGTGGGCATGTGCACGAAATTGAGCAATGTAGGGTGTGGGCATGTGCACGAAATTGAGCAATGTAGGGTGTGGGCATGTGCACGAAATTGAGCAATGTAGGGTGTGGGCATGTGCACGAAATTGAGCAATGTAGGGTGTGGGCATGTGCACGAAATTGAGCAATGTAGGGTGTGGGCATGTGCACGAAATTGAGCAATGTAGGGTGTGGGCATGTGCACGAAATTGAGCAATGTAGGGTGTGGGCATGTGCACGAAATTGAGCAATGTAGGGTGTGGGCATGTGCACGAAATTGAGCAATGTAGGGTGTGGGCATGTGCACGAAATTGAGCAATGTAGGGTGTGGGCATGTGCACGAAATTGAGCAATGTAGGGTGTGGGCATGTGCACGAAATTGAGCAATGTAGGGTGTGGGCATGTGCACGAAATTGAGCAATGTAGGGTGTGGGCATGTGCACGAAATTGAGCAATGTAGGGTGTGGGCATGTGCACGAAATTGAGCAATGTAGGGTGTGGGCATGTGCACGAAATTGAGCAATGTAGGGTGTGGGCATGTGCACGAAATTGAGCAATGTAGGGTGTGGGCATGTGCACACTCGACACGAACTTGCATTGCATCCCCCTCCCCTCTCCTCCCTTCACCTCCCATTCTCCAGCCTCTCCCTTCATACAAATGACCACGCACGCACGCACGCACACACGCACGCACACACGCACGCGCGCGTTCGAGCGCACACAGGGAAAGGCACGTGTAGTACAGTAGACAAACAGAAGGCAGGGAAGGAGGGGGCAGCAGGGGGGCAGGCGAGCAGGGGGGCAGGTGCGAAGAGGGGCAGGCGAGCAGGAGGGAGGGCGTGGTGTGGTGACATACATTTGATCGAGCAAAGTGAGGGAGCCAAGAGTCGGAGGCAGCGATCCTGTCAGCTCGTTGTCACTCAGCTGGCTGTACGGGTGCGAGGCGTGGAGGCGCGAGGGAGGGAGGGGAGAGGCACAGAGGGGAGGGAAAGGAAGGAGGGGAGACAAGGGGGACAGGACAGGGAGGAAGGTGGGGAGACAGTGGGGACAGGACAGAAAGGGTGTTCAGGGGAAGGTGGGGAGGGGCTAAACCCTGATCAAAGCTCATGAGAACCTGCTGCTGAGCAGCAAGCGCTGCACATGGCCTCAAGGCGGGTGTGCAAGGCGGGTGTGCAAGGCGGGCGTGCAAGGCGTTGAGATGCCTTCACTCCGTACAGAGTAGCAATTGCAGCGGGTGCGTGCGCGTACAGGATGACTCATGAGTCGACTCACCAGTCACGTTTGAGTCCAGTCAGGAGTAGAGTAGCAAGGAGAGCAGGTGCGGGCACGTACAGGGTGCGCAGAGTGCGGATGGAGCCAATGGAGTCGGGAAGAGACCCCGAGAAGTGGTTGTTGTTGAGCCGCCTGGTGGTACAAGGGAGAGTGGGAGGGGTCCGTGGTGGGGGCAGTGAATGGTGCGGCTAGGGGCTAGCGAGGGGAACGGGGACGTTGGGAGTAGAGGGGGTGTTATGTGCGAGTGCTAGTGTGCAAGTGTGCATGCTTGCTGCTTGCATGTGTGCGCGTGGCAGTGAGAGTGAGAGGCGTACAGGTCTTGTAGCGAAGGGAAGTATCCTATCTCTGAAGGTATGGAGCCCTCCAACTGGTTCCAGCTCAAATCCCTGCGAGCGCAAGCATGCACACATGCACACACGAGCAGGCGCAAGCACACACGAGCAGGCGCAAGCACACACCAAACAACGGATGACGAGCAAAGCAGTAACGAGATGAGGGAACCGGACTAACAGAAAGGCCGCATTCTCTAAAGCAAATGGTACATGCGTTGAGACCAGACCAGCCAGCGCACGCGCCAACGCGAACGGAAATGCACGCCAACGCCAATGGTGACAAGGGCCACCATATGACAATTAAGAATCGCAGCGAATGCATGTCAAACGATATGACACGCAGAAAGCGCACTCTCCTAGCCGCACGGAGTTGCACGCAGCGTGGCAGGCCTAACAAAAGGAAGAGAGCAGCAAGCAGCGGAGTGTGTGGAACGGAGCTTACAGAGTGACCAGCCCAGTGACATTGGCGAGGGTGGCAGGAAACGAGTCTGTAAGCTGATTCCTGCTGAGAAGGCTGCAGGAGGGAAGGGTGGGGGAGAGAAGGGAGGCAGTGAGGATATGCGTGTGTCAAGTGCGTGTGTCAAGTGCGTGTGTCAAGTGCGTGTGTCAAGTGCGTGTGTCAAGTGCGTGTGTCAAGTGCGTGTGTCAAGTGCGTGTGTCAAGTGCGTGTGTCAAGTGCGTGTGTCAAGTGCGTGTGTCAAGTGCGTGTGTCAAGTGCGTGTGTCAAGTGCGTGTGTCAAGTGCGTGTGTCAAGTGCGTGTGTCAAGTGCGTGTGTCAAGTGCGTGTGTCAAGTGCGTGTGTCAAGTGCGTGTGTCAAGTGCGTGTGTCAAGTGCGTGTGTCAAGTGCGTGTGTCAAGTGCGTGTGTCAAGTGCGTGTGTCAAGTGCGTGTGTCAAGTGGGTGAAGAGGTGACAGGCGCAGTGGGAAAGAGTAGTTCCTGTGGTCATTCTAGGAGCGCGAATCTAAGTATACAAAGCAATCAATGGGTAGAAATGGGTGGGTGGCAATGGTGGGCGGGCAACAGGTGGGTGGCGATGCGTGGCCAACAATACGTGGGTGGCAAGGGGTAACGGTAACGTGATGGGGGCGGTAAGATCACTAACAGGGCAGCAAGGTATGAGAGGCGGTTAAGGGAAGCTGGGATTGATCCAGTAAGCTCGTTGTTACTCAGCTGCCTGCCACACGTGCAGAGGACGTTTATCACGTGGTGGCACTGATAGCATCAACAGCAGAGGCGGCAGGAACAGCAGCAGCAGGAGTGGCGACAGACAGCAGGAATGGAAATTGCTGGTGGTAACGGCAAGATGGATGGTGAGGGGAGGAGCATTGTACAGGTATTGCAGGGATGCTATGTCCCCCAGAGTGGCCGGGATGCTGCCCGTCAGTCTGTTCATGTGCGCAGTGCTGGTGAGGCGAGGGGGCGAGGGGACGGGAGAGGGGGAGGATAACAAGGGGTGAGACGGAAGAGGATGGAAGAGGAGCAGAGAAGAGGAGGCAGGCGGGGAGTAGAGAAGTTAATAACGGGAGAAAGAACAAGGGACTAGGCAGCACGGGATATAAAATATAAACTTGAGGTGGGGTGGGGGAAGAGAGAAAGGTGTGGTTGCAAGGAGGAAAGCAGGCGGTGATGGAGTTGAGGTTACAGTTCTACTAGTCGGGTTAAGGCGGCCAGGGAGGCGGGGATAGAGCCTGAGAGCGAGCAGTTGTGCACATCGCTGCAGGGACGCCAGGGATGCACGGCGAGTCGATGGGAGGGGTGAGGACAAGATGGGAGCGGACGGAGGGGAGCGGAGCGGAAGGCAGGGGAAGGGAGCGGGGATGAGGATGTGAGTGAAGAAAAGCAGGATGGCAAGCGGCAAAAGAGCACCTGGCATGGTGGGAGGGCCTTGTTGGATGGGTTTCAACGAGGCACAGGATGACATGGAACATCATCCACAGCACATGCACATCACAACATGGTACAGACTGTGCATGGCATGGCATGGCATGGCAGATCAGGACATGGGCTGGCACTGACATGTGTTGGAGAGTGTCAAGTCGGGAGATGACTTCTGGGATGGATGGCGACAGGGTCTGGTATGCTAGGTCACTGCAGGACAGCAAAAGGCACGCAAACCCAAGCAAACACCCAAGCAAACCAACAAGCACATGGCATGCATGCATGCAGGCGCACACGTGCACATACATCCATGTTACCAGGCACACATGGCGAGGGTTGGGAAGGGGTGAAAGGGGAAACGGAAATAATAAAAGGGGAGACGGTGAAGAGGGCGCGAGCGGGGAAGGGGTGGATGGTATCGTATGGACATGAATGAAATTCCTGCGATCCACATGGGCGATACATGGCGACGGGTAAGAAAGGAATGCGCAGTGCATGCAGAGGACGCTTATGCATAGGACGCATATGCATAGGCCGCATATGCATAGGCCGCATATGCATAGGCCGCATATGCATAGGCCGCATATGCATAGGCCGCATCACAAGTGAACAGTTCCCACATGTGTAGGCCGCTCAAAGCGAGGTGACTTCTGAGTCAGCCAGAAAAGAAAAAGTCACCCCGGAAGAGAGAGAGCGGAAGGGCAACAGCAAGCCGCATGCATGCAGATGCAGCCTGGTGATGTCGCCATCGGCGTGGCTCGTGTATCCCTGCGCATGTCAAGTTTTGAGTCGTTGTCTCAAGGCATTGCAAGGGCAAGGGCAAGCGTGCGTACAGCCTGGTGATGTAGCCATCGGCGTTGCACGTGATGCCCTGCATGTCCTCGCAAGCGTACGTTACGCGCCACGTGTCCCGGCCCTCGAAGTCCCGCCACTGCCCTTTCATCTCGTCCACCACCGCCCCTGCACGGCCCGAGCAACGCGGAGAGATAGGGAGGGCACGGAGAGTGAGGGTAGACACGGAGAGGGGGGTGAAAAAGAATGGAAGCAGGCGGACGGGCGGCAGGATTTGTTGTAGTGGATGGTGTTAGCGACGGATGGAGATAAGAAGGTAGGGGCTGACGGCGATGACGAAGGGGGGTTGTGGGGGGGAGGAGGAGGTGGAGGAGGAGGAGGAGGAGGAGGAGGAGGAGGAGGAGGAGGAGGAGGAGGAGGAGGAGGAGGAGGAGGAGGAGGAGGAGGAGGAGGAGGAGGAGGAGGAGGATGAGGAGGAGGAGGAGGAGGAGGAGGAGGAGGAGGAGGAGGAGGAGGAGGAGGAGGAGGAGGAGGAGGAGGAGGAGGAGGAGGAGGAGGAGGAGGAGGAGGAGGAGGAGGAGGGACCGGCAACTTACTGGAACCGACCAGAATTTGAAAGCGAAAGAGAGGCTGTCGACTCGCGAGTTGAAGAGCTTGCAATGGGTCGGACGAAGCTTACAGTGGACGGGATTTAGCATGACAGCAGAAGCGTGCTTTGCGCTGCCGCTGACCACGGCAGCAACGACAACAGCAAGGAGAATGGGTCTGCGAAATGTCATCACAAAGCTCGCTGGAAGAGAGTGGGGCACGCCTCGAAGTAACACCGCCATCGCCCCCGCCGCGGTTACCCGTTGGCTGCTTCTGCTGCTGCTGCTGGTGCTGCTGCTAAGGGGATCCGGTAGTGAACTCTTCGGCCAGTAAAAAACGCGAGAAAGCGTGGAAACGCGGGTAACCAGCGAAACAGAAGAGGGGATGGTCAGGGTCACCAATTTCGAATCAGGACCTCAAATCCGCAAGTCTCGCGGTCACCGCACAAAAAAAGGTCACCCTTTCGCGGGGCCTCCGCAAAATGCCCAGCTCAAAACGGGGGGAAGGAGCGTGGGTGCTCGAAGCTAGAACTTAGAGGTCCGCAGGGCTTGCGGGATTACGCTGAACTAGTGCGGTTCTATGAAACGATGAGCCACTAATGTAAGTGTTATTAGTAGAACGCTGGCGTCGCTGTTGCTCTTGCGAGCCGATGAAGAGCTCTCCTGTTGGTAGGGACAGGCGGCTTTCACGCGGGCGTCAAACCCATGTGTAAGTGTCCGGCGACATATTTATTTGGGAAGATATTTGGGATGATAATGATGACGCACGACTCGCGCTTGCGGCGTGGACCGTAGTCGCCGGCAACACGGCGATTGGCGGATACTCTATGGTAGTGACAGTATGTGCTGGGCCTTGTTAAGCGCGCACGATGCGGTTCAGCGAAGCGCGAAGGCACTATGGTAGCGAGAAACTCTGTGGCAGATGGTCTATCTACTGGGCGCCGGCGGCATTGGCAGGAGCTTTTTGGTAGTTAGATGTGAGTGAGGATGATGGTGTTAGGGATGTCATGGGAACTATCGCGCAGACCGCGGCGGAGCATAGTGTGTCAGTCCATCTGGCAAGTGTCATTGAATTCGGTTATCTGTTGCGTCCTCCTCATCTGCTGTCCAGGTCAAGTACTACTGAAGCTTGGTGTTATTTTCCGGGGGTACAAGCTTGACAAAATCGACAGTGGATATGTTTTTTTCGAGGCTTTTGGGGTGTACCCATAGTGAGTAAACTGGCCCTCGCACACATCACAAAGACGTCGCGCGCGAGAGGTGGTAGCTATCAGCTCTGAAAATTGTTTATCGAAGTACTGTGGCTGCTGCGCGACATTCGCATCAGCCAAGCCTACGAAACTCAACACATACTAGGGATTTAGACCTCCTGTGTGTTGTAAAAGATGCCCGTTGATGGTGTCTCACCTTCTGAGCACATTCATGTGACGCGAGGAGGGAGGAAGCTGATCTACAGTAGGAGGCATTGAGGGAGCTGCAGTGAGTGGCTCACCCTGGTTCATCCACCCAGGACGGAAACCCTTGGTGTCATCCAACTACTGAGCGTAAATTTCTGCAGTGTGCTTACACCGTGTAGAAACGCGTCATACCGATATGTGTCGCTTGCGTGGTGAATTGGAAATCCCCCACGGAGACCAGCCTGACACGATCCGAATCGTGACGAGGAGCAGGGGAGGAAGGAAAGGATCGAGGCAAACAAGGAAAGGTGACGCACGCACGCCAAAATGCACGGCACGGCAGCTTTTGCTTGCCAGAGGGTGCACAGCAAGCTGCTGCTTGTCCATGTGGTGTCATACGTGCGGGTGTGCACTGTTTGCCACTGCTGGGCAACAATTACAGGCTGATAAAGTAGGAATCGAGCAAAAAAGGGTGTATTTCACAACATTTCCGTTCTCCTGATGATATGAGCATTTCAATCACAGATATCGCAGATTTAAGGGTCACACAACCCAACAAAGCCAGAAAACTTCAGAAACTCATTTTCGGCTGTTCTGAATTCTCGTTTAGTCAACAATACTTCAAAAACCCCGTCTGGCGGAACTATAACCCTGCTAGCAACGGACAAATCTTGCTCGACGGGCTGACTGACTCGCCCCGTCCACACGGTTTCCACTAAATCAGGCTTGGGCTGGCTGGCCAAGGAGATGGGAGAGGAAAGAGGGAGGGAGGGAGGGAGGGAACTGTCAATGGGCGGGCTTTTGTGGCTGTCTGACACCCCTGTCAACGTGTCATAATACACCTGAATGATTTGCTCAATGAATATATATTGTTACGAGTGCAATTGAGTGAACGGACTAAGCTTGCACTATCAAATCAAACAGTTTATTGAGAGAAATAGTAAGCGAAATGTGGGGTGCGAGACGGGCCTGCGCTAAGGTTGGGAATTGTTGAAGAGGAGGATCAGTGCATGGTTCCAAGCCGTGGTGTTGGGACAGAACATGAGCAGTGGTGGAAACAGTGGCCGAGCCGAGTGTTACGAGTGGTACCGTTTAAGTGTTGGGTATCGTCAGCGGGAAACAATCGTATACATAGTAAATAGAGGTGCGATGTACGGAAAATGAAATTTCCTTACACTATCCCCCTTGATATACGATCTTTCCAGCCTGTCAGGAACTCGATGCGACGAGCTCCGCGTGGATCGCGAATACGGTGGCTCAACATTTTTCCGTGGCTGATGATTGGCTCTGTAGGCAGGCGTGTCATGCTTGACGGGCGGTTTCGAGGCAGCTGATCGGTTAACGGGATGTAGAGGCGGAGGAGACCCGCATCGAACGAGGGGCTGACATACCTGTCAGTGCGTAGGAGGAGGTAGGCAGTGATGGGGGCGATCATGTGGCTGATGTGAAATGGCCTGTAATAACTTGTGCGTAACTTTGGAGTGGAACGCAAGGTTTCGAGTATCGAGTAATACGATGTCATCGAGCTGGTAAGTGACGGGATAGCGGCGGTTATCAGCGTTGCGTTCAGCGATGATGTTTGAGCTTTTAATGGCATCTGCTGCTTGAGTTCGGGTGGCCTGCAAAATTTTGGCGAACTGCTGCGCGCGTGAGACCGGGGTTCTCGGGGTTCGGCGTCATAGGCACGGTGAGGTTTCTTCCGTGGTTGAGATAAAATGGTGACTGCTGCATCACGGTCGCTTTAGAGTTGTTGTATCGAACTCGATGAGTGGCAACTACTGCTCTCAAGTTGCCGGATTATCGTAGGTGGCTCCGATCAAGTGCTCTGTGGTCTGATTTGTCCGCTCCGTTTGACCCTCTGTTTCAGGATGGTACGATGAACTGAATTGCAGTCGCGTGCCGAACTGCTGCCACATGTTATGCCATAACATGCTGGTGAATTTCTTGTCACGATCGCTAATGATCGTCGCGGGTATCTCATCGAGCCGAACGACGGTGGCAATGAAGAGTCACACAATTTCTTCGACTTAGATTAGGCTTTTCGTCAGCTGATCCACGACAACCAGAACCACGACGTTCCCACTCGCTCCAGCCAGTAACCTTGTGACGACGTCCATTGTTACTTGCTGTTATGAACGCTTCGTGCATGTAGCCGACCTCTTCGCACAGCAAGAAAAATCCGCTGATAGTCTTGAACCGACCCAAGCTGTCGCCAAGTGCGCAGCTTCTGGCATGCCAATATTGAAGCCACGATCGGCTTGAAGCGCAGCGGAAGTCATGCGCACCATGCGTCCCACGTGCTGAATGGGGCGACTTCGCAGAATTAACTCCAGTTTACAGCTGGCCTCGAGGGCCTCTCCCCTTGCAACAGTGGCTTGTCGGCGCTCGTCGACGGTATGATAAATTGCCACCTGTCCATGGCGGGCCCACGCATTAAGGAGATGGCGTACCAGATTTCCGCTGCATCTGACGTGACGTTGTTCGTGTAAAAAAACAAGTTCATTGTGAATATTCACGATTAAAATGTCGAACCTCCATGCTGGCTAGGATCAAATCAGGGCAGGTGCTGCAGCACGAGTGGCATCGGCTTATCGGTGTCGTTATTGCCAACAAGTGTCGCGATGCCGACGTGACGGCGAGCTTCGCGAAGTGTGTTCGTGCGCGGTGCCTCCCTGGTTCCCCTCCATGCCCAGCATAGATTGGGCAGTGCCATCACTGATAATACTAGAGCGCTGTCCAACGCTGTCGTCACGTGATGGGGTCCCGGGTGAGATGACAATGAGTTCTTCAATTTGTGTAGGTATATTTGCTGATGCTGGTGCATTCACTGTCGATTGCTGAAGCACAGAGTCGCGTTCCGTAGTCTGCGCACGATTTCGTCAAGGCGTTCCTGCGTCAGACCTTCGAGCAAAATGCGAGCGTGTGAAGGGTGGGGGGTTGCAGGGTTGACTTGACTTCCGCGGGCAACCACTTCTCGTACCTTTCTTCCTCAACATGTGTTTTCGATGCGCATCTTTAATGCACTCGTTGATCATTGCTTGCTCTACTTGCTGAAACTGCTCTCGTGCCTCGCGTCTACTTTAAGCCTGCCGTGTGCCTGCTGCACGTCCGTGGTTCAGTCGCTGCACGCCAGTCACCTCGGTTCAGTCGCTGCCTGACAGTCGCTGGGCGCCAGCATACGTGTGATACTTTCTACAGGGAGTTGTTGGAAATGGACACTGGAATGGCCCAAAGTGGTCTTCCCAAGGGCTACAGGCGTCGTTTTGGGAAGGTATGGGTGCGCTGACCCACCAAGTTAACATGCCCTTTTAGCCCAGTTAGTTAGCGAACTGGACATGGTGGTGAAGTGGGGTAGACACAGGTGTCAGAGGTCCACTGGGGATCCCCGATGATCCTAGGGAAGGGTTACAGGCATGTCGGCCTGGGGGGTTATGGGCGCACTCACCCGCTATATAAACAAGCCCTTTTATCCCAGTGGTTAGTGGCTGGGATTCTGACATGGTATCAGAGCGAAGGTCTCGGGTTCGATTCCCGGTGTGTGCACCTCGGGCATCCTAGTGCGGGGGGGTGTCAGAGGTCCACTGGGGATCCCCGATGATCCTAGGGAAGGGTTACAGGCATGTCGGCCTGGGGGGTTATGGGCGCACTCACCCGCTATATAAACAAGCCCTTTTATCCCAGTGGTTAGTGGCTGGGATTCTGACATGGTATCAGAGCGAAGGTCTCGGGTTCGATTCCCGGTGTGTGCACCTCGGGCATCCCAGTGCGGGGGGGTGTCAGAGGTCCACTGGGGATCCCCGATGATCCTAGGGAAGGGTTACAGGCATGTCGGCCTGGGGGGTTATGGGCGCACTCACCCGCTATATAAACAAGCCCTTTTATCCCAGTGGTTAGTGGCTGGGATTCTGACACAGGTTCAATTCCTACAGTCGGCAAATTTCCTGTGCCCTAGTGGTGGGCCCTCCAGTGAGGGGAGTATTGGAAATGGACACTGGAATGACCCATAGTGGTCTTCCCAAGAGCTACAGATGTCGTCCTGGGAGTGTACGGGTGCGCTGACCAGCCAAGTTAACTTGCGGCTGCAACTGTGCGTTTAGCTGAAATAGCGCGTGCAGCCGCGCGTGTGAGTGGCTGTGCGCGGTCGCGCATATGCGGCTGCTCTGTTGCGTGTAGGCAGTTGCTGCTGGTGGTCGCGCGCTACTACCGTGCTGACATGAGTTGAGCAGCAACGTCTAAGGATGTGCGTGGTTGGAGCTACGAGGGAAGCTTTTGTACCGTTATAATGCTGGAACCTTCGGTTTAATTGGCAACCTGTGAACCGGCCTCACGCCTCAAGGAAGTTCCAATTATCGGCGCTAGGCCCGTATAGCAACACATACCACCGTTTCACTTGTTTGCTCATGATTGTTGATGTTGATGTTTGTTGTCTTGGAGTGCAATTCTCGCTTGCCTACTCAGTTTCTCACAAAAACAGCTATAAATTCTCGACATGAAACATATATGAATGTGAGTATCTCAAAGTTTGAACTTGAAAAGAAGTTTTCACAGGTTTGTAACACTACGTAAATGCAACTATCATTGTCAGTAGTTCTTTATGAGAAATGAAGGGTACCTTTATCGAATACACTATTTCCGCCGTAGGAATGGGTGCAGTTGAACGCGAGTTGCGAAGCATTCACAAGACGTGGCAATAACTTCTGAAGTACTCTATCGTGTCATTGCCACGACTTCGGCATTGATGAATCTCGCCTGGTGCTTCTGTTATCCAATGCACGTCCGTCTTTCGGAAATGCCAGCAAAGAAGCGGACCACCTTTGTCTTGGTTGAGCTGTCGAGTGGTTGTGATGACTCGATGAATCAGAATCCTGTCTAGGCGTATTCCGGGTAGCAAAACTGTGCTGGGCAGTTTCCACGACCTTTTATTGTACTGTACCGTACCGGATTGATATTAACCGAAAGCAGAACTTCACGGGTGTGCCTTGGGATTAGAACCAAATCGAAACAACTAGTCCACAATACGGAAGCCACGACGGGACTGGCCTCGATCAGCCCAGCGAGGGAGTGACTCTTGCTCGAACCAACCAAGTGACGGTGTAGATTTCGTCCTGTAATCACGGAGATGTAACACCCCTCAACCTTGCCCCAGAACCACACACGCATCACAACCATACTTCCACGCAAAACCAGCAAACCCAAAAATTTCCCCATAGCCATGGCTACCGTCCATCTCGCATAGCTGCTCTGCCGTTTAGGGCTCGACCTTCGTAGTGCATGGCCTGTTAGGTTAGGTTACCGCCTGTCATTTGCAAGAGAGCGTCTTTTACAGCTTTTAAGTAGAAATATACATCAAAGCGCATACCGTGTAAGATCGTGCTCCCGATGCGTCCTTGTGAGATGTCATGCGTGGCAGGACCAGTTCAGCATGCTTTTGGCACAGGTACTTCTTATTGTGACATTGTGGCAAGCGCATGGTGTACCGTTTGGTCAGTACTAGCCGCTCTACAATCGGTAGCGTTTATGATCGTTTTTGCTTTACCTTTTCAACCTGCATTTCTGCCTGTCTTATCCTTTAGGGGCGTGAGGCGTTTGCACCTTTTTTCCAAAGGTTTTATATTTTTGTTTTGTTCTCCACGTATGTATTAACTCTGCACAAGGAAAGCAAAGCATCGACTTATATATGCTGTTGTCCCATCCAATCCCATCATAGGCACACCACTCTGCCCAAGTCGAGGTGCCTTTTTTCAACTGTCCGAGAAGGTTGGTAGACTAATGCGGCAATGCTTAGTGTTTCTCGGCGCGTCTTCGCGTCCGTGTTCATTCTGTTCCAGATTTTCCCAGAATTTGTGCATAGTTTATTGGAACTTCTCGCCGTGTGTTTGGCCTCCCTCGCAGGTTACCAAGTGGTGTGATTCCGTCGAGGCCGCGATCGTCCAATGGATTATCGACTTCGTTGCTACCAGGTTTTCCCCGCTTGCCAAACTTAACTATCCGTTTAGGTGCAACGTTATTTCCAGAATACTTGATTGAATCCATCAAGTGCCTATCGTTTGGACGTCCACATACCTACCGTTCTGAGTTACGTTTGTGTTTACGACCCCGACGATGCAGGGCCATCGCGTTGTTTGTTTTGCTGAATCCTCGCCTCTCCTCTCATCAGCAATTTCGTCTACATGTAAGGGTTCTTACTAGTGCTAAGAAGTTTGTTGTTGTGAGTTAACTTCATGCTTGCAGAGCGCTACAGTCCAGTATTGGGTTCGGCATGGCCTTTCTTTGTCATGACGTGTTCTGCTTTGTGTGTGTGTGTGTGTGTGTGTGTGTGTGTGTGTGTGTGTGTGTGTGTGTGTTTTTACCTGGCAGCAAATGATGGCAAAAGCGGTTGAACGGTCCTGGCTCCGAAGGAAGCTCGATGTGCGATTGTTGAAGTACGGAATGCGTGTAATTTTTTCTTTGATCGTGCTTTTTGTTTGCTTTTTTTTTAAATTATTATTATTCTCATGTTTATTTTATTTCGTATAAGTGTGTAAAGGGGTATACTGTTGTTTGTTTGCAGGGGTATACTGGCGCTCGCCTGCCCTAACCGAGATCTACTCAACTTAATCGATTACCTGGTTAGTTTTCCTAACCCATTTTGATCTACTTCCTTGCAAATTACTGCATACGTTGTTACCAAAAAAAACAAAAAAGGGAAGTGCTGCATCAAGGGAGGTTGTAATGAGTTTTTTTTATGAATGAAGTACAGGCTGTTCCGTACAGGTCGAGCATGAACTTCTCTCATCCAGGTCGAGCATTAACTCTCTCTCTCTCTCTCTCTCTCTCTCTCTCTCTCTCTCTCTCTCTCTCTCTCTCTCTCTCTCTCTCTCTCTCTCTCTCGCTCTCTGCGCGCGTGCGTGCGTGCGTGCGTGCGTGCGTGCGTGTGTGTGTGTGTGTGTGTGCGCGTGTGTGTGTGTTTGTGCGTGTGAGTGTGCGTGTGAGTGTGCGTGTGCGTGTAAGGGTGGCCATGGCCGCGCAGTCTGATACTGCTGCTTCGATATGTGAGAGCCAGACTCTGTTAGACCTGCAAATCTCCTCAAGTGACGGATGTCTTCATGCAGCTCAGTGCACACCTACTTGCCAACCTGACCACTACGCCCAAAGCCATTCCCTCCTCTCTCGAGCCTCCACTGCCATCACACCTCCTCAAAATACTGCTGGTCTCCTTGCGGCTGGGACTTCTTCTGGCCGCTTCGCAACCCCCTCACATTCGTGCAGTGGAGCCAACAGCCTGCGCGTAGAAGCGAAAGTTGAGAGATTGCAGAACAAGCATTGCCCTGAAGTCGCCATCAGCATCGGTTCGTCTTTAGTATGCAACCGAGCTGATGAAATAACGTTACATGCTGGGAATGTCAGCATGGGTGCAGCAGCTTCCTGGGATTGCAGTATGCCAAGTAAGTTGTCTGACCGGATATTCGTACAGGCTTCTTGTCCTTCGACAGCAGCAGCTCTCCCAACCATCACCAGGCCTTCAGAGGGGAGAACAGGAGCGGCTTCAGGGCATACAGCTGTCGAGAGTTCCCCATCTACTCATTGTCCATTGATATGCCATTCACAGCCACTTTCGAGAAACCTGCAAGAAACAAGTGTACTTGTCCCGGGACATCATCATGGAGGGTGTCTTCTTCATCAGCCTCAGCAGTCCCAGGTGTTTCTAAAGGGTTCATCGAGATTAGCAGCAACTACTGCTGTAGCAGCAGTAGCAGCAGCAGCAGCAACGTTAATTACCGTGTCACCAGCAGCGGCACCAGCAGCAGCACCAGCAGCAGCAAGAGTGCCAGCAACAGCAGCGGCGGCGGCGGCGGGAACAACAGCAACAACAGCAGCAGTGGTTCCCATGCTAGCACCTGCAGAAACTGTCCCATCATCACCACCATTTACCCTGGTACCAGGACCATCCATGATATCAAGACGGCCAACAACCTTCTGGTGGTTGCTGACCGAGTGGTTTTGTGTGGATCATGACTTGGTGGCGGCCATGCCTCCTGCTGTGCAGCGGTCTGTGTTGGAGGGGCTATGTGGAGACCACATAGATGGCTTGCTTCGACTCGTGCATGCTGCATCAGCCATGCCGCATGCCTGCTGCCACCAGTTTGTGCAGCCAGAACTGTTTGCCTGGTTCAGGGAGCATCCCCCGACGTGTTGCATCTCGCTCGAGCCTCTTGTTTCACAGGTAAAGCAGGATCTGTGAGTTTTGTGTTGGACCTGGGAGTCCTGCTGTTCTATTTTGTTTCTTTGTTTCTTCATGAAAATTACTGTGCTTTGCAGTCCCATTTACACAGACCACGGACCTGCTATTCTGACGTGCCTTAGTTCGTGCGTGCAGGATGGGCGCGTTTGCTCCGATGTTGTGGCTGTGGTGCAACGGATGCGCAAGAGACAGAGCAGTGGCAACCGTGCCAGCAAACAACCAAAGCTCCATGCTGTACGTTTCTCTGTTGTTCAGAATGCTTTCTCCCACTGTTGCTTTCTCTGTTGTTTCTCCTCTGTTTCTTTTGCAGGCAATTTTTTCACTGCTGTTTTGATACTCCTTGCTGCCCGTTGCAGTTCTTATTTCGTGGAAAGGCACTTTTTGACTGGCTGGCTGTTTCTCCTCGTCCATTTAACCCAAAGACACGTGTCACCATCCTCCCAATGGATATTTACCGCCTGTCCTGAGCTAGGACGTGTGTACGGTAGTTGTCTACACACAGAATTTGTATATTCAGTAATGGTTTTGCATGGGCTGTAGGACTGTGAACTGCTAAGTGTTTTTGTGCTGAAGTTATGTTTTGCTGGGTTGACAAGCCTGTCTTAGGAATCGCCCCACACTGCTTATAATACACGCAGAATAATCAAAGCAGATTCAGCGCTTTTGCTATATGGCGGACTAGCAAAACCAACTGACTTTCGCCCCCAGGTTTGGGGGGTGTGGTCCAGATAGTATGCTGCTGATTTCAGGCAAATCCAGTGCGAATCGGTTGTGGACATTGGCGCGAAGCGCTTCAAAGAGTTTTCGCTTTCGATCGAGGCTCGGCTTTGGCCCGGCGATCAACGGTTCTGTATGCACAGTAAGCCAAAAACCGAGCCGCGTGGTGAGGCGAGGTGCGAATGAAAATCGGTTGCTGGTTGTGACGTGTTCTTGATCGAACCGACTGCCGAGCCTGCAAAACCGACACTCATTCCAACCTTCAGATTAAGGGCAGTCCGAAGTGAAGCGTCGAATGGATGACGCTGGATGTCGGTAAATGTCAACCCTCGGATTAAAAGTTCCAACCGTCAGGATTTGCCGACATCGGATGACGCTGGATGTCACGTTCACTTCGGACCCGCTCTTACACTCATTCCACCAGGCTACCACCGAGCCACCGGCAAGCCACCACAACCCCCAGCCTGATTTGAGGGTCTGGGGGACTTGGGAATGACGCTGAACGTGAGACCTGGTGCTCGAACAACCAACAGCAGCAATCCCCGTTCTTGGGCTGAATGCTGATGTGAACAGAAGCAGAGCTGAAAGAATTCATGACTCCAGGAATGCTCTCACAACTACTGAGTTAGACCGTGAATTACACATTCCCGTTCCAAGGCCGTGAATTACACACGCGAGCATCCGCATAGACCGTGAGTCAAGGACGTCAGTCGAATTAGTCTCACATCTGCTGAGCTGTATTGAGCAGGAACTGCAAGGCGGAGTTGGAAGCGATGAAATGACAGTGTCTGCTACAGTGCTGCCGCAACTGGTAAGCGAATGAACCCAGCAGGGATACTGGCTCAATGTCGGTTTTTAATGGTGAACGCGTTGCAACCTTTTATACAAGAACGAAGCCAGCCAACAAGAGAAAGAAAGTAAAATCTGTAGCCAGCAATACGTACTTCTGGAAGTTGCGTCCGACATTGGGGATGGCAGCAATTGTACATCATAAGGCTTCACAAATTTGGTCGTCCTACCGGTCTATGGAACCTCGCCAGACCAATATCCTGCGAAGAAGGTGTAGCGACACCAAGTAGTCGCAGATTTAATATTGCACGCTGGCTGCTATTAGCATCATCGCACGCTGCTTATGTGCCGCTGTCACGCTTCGAAGGGGCAGAAGCAATCACGCTGTAACGCGCCATACCGCTACTCTGCTAGCGCGCCCTGCTGCCACGCTGATTACGCGTTGTGCTGTCGCATTGCTGGTGGTGGCGTGCAGGTCAATATGGAGGACAACGCCGCAGCTCCACCGCCAAGTCTGGACCAGAATTCCCTTTTGTCCTCGCCGCAAATGCCAACGGACGATGCACAGGCAGGAGAAGGGGCAGCAGCAGGAGCAACAGCAGTAGCTGGAGGGAAGGAGGCCGTTTCGACTTCTGGGAGAGTCGCTGTTTCTGAGTCGCCTCGTTCTCGCTCTCTCTCCCAGTCTTCCCACTCCGCCTCTCTATCTCACTCACACTCCCATTCGCAAACGCCGAGGGTGCGTTTCGTGTCGCGGTTGATGTTCTCTCAACGCTCTCGTATCTTCCGTAACTCTTTCTCTTCACTAGCTCTACGCCTGTTTCCCTCCCAAACTAACTGACTTCCCTACCCTCTTCCATTCCCCCTTTCGCTCATTGTGCCGTTTCTCTTTTTTACTCCGTTCCCCTCCCACGTTCCCGTACCCATGCGTGCCACCCTCCCTCGTTACATGTGCTGATTTACTCAGTCCAAGCCAGGGCTCACGCGGTCCCCCTCCTCCGCCTCCTCCACAGCCTCATCGCTCGCTTCCCCTTCCAGACATTCCTCAAGGGTCAGTTCTATTCTTTTCCTTGTGTAACCACATATCCATGAGGCGTACTTCCGTTCGCGTTCAACCCCCACCCCTCTCCGGTCCCACTCTCGTGCTTCGATTCCGTTACCTCGTCTCCCCCTCACACCATGCGCTCAACCTCATACGCGTGATAAAAGTTGAGTTTTGAGATGTCTCATAACCATGCGCTCAACCTCGTACACTCACACCGTGACAGCTTCCCTCGTCTTCCTCCCCTCCACTCCCTTCCCCTCCCCGCACCCCATCCTCCTTTCATCCAGTCGTCGTCCTCTCGGTCCCGCCAGGACGAGCCATCAGGCCTCAAGCCCCGCATGCCCTCGTCCGCCTCTTCTGAAGCCACAAGCTCGCCCCGCCCGCGCCACAGGGTAAGTTCCATGAACCCGGGGGAAACACGCACACGCGAGGTAAACACGCACGCTAGAGGAAAACACGCACACGCGAGGGAAACACGCACACGCGAGGGAAACACGCACACGCGAGTGAAACACGCACACGCGAGTGAAACACGCACACGCGAGGGAAACACGCACACGCGAGGGAAACACGCACACGCGAATGAAACACACACACCCTACGGAAACACGCTGTAAGGTACGAAGGTTCAGAGGCGGAAAAAAGGAGACACACGCCTTATGAGATAGGCAGAGGGGTGAGCCTACTCGATAACAAGCACATGGTAAGCAAAGGGGGGCAGTCAGCTGAGGCGAGAGATAATGCGTACCCGGACAGCTAGACTCGTGATGGTTGATTTCAGTGGTCAGCAGCGGTGGTTGATACTGCTCTGTTTACCCACTTGCTGCTTTGCATGTGCAGACGAGGGAGGAGGGCAAGGAGGAGGACGGGAGCAGGGACAAGGAGAGGGAGAGACGGGAGAGAGACAAGGATAGGGAAAAGGACAGGGATAAGGACAGGGATAAGGACAGGGATAAAGAGAAGGATAAGGAGAGGGATAAGGACAGGGAGAGGGAGAAGGAGAAGGAGAAAGAACGGCGAGAGAGGAAGGATCGGAAGGAGAGGAAAGACCAGGAGAGGGAGCGGGAGAGGGTAAGCGAGGGGTCAAGGGGCAGTGATGACGACCATGCAGTGACGTTGTTACAGGAGGAGGTGGCACGGCTGGTGAAAGAAAAGGAGAGTGAAGCAGCCACAGCAGCAGCAGCTGCTGCAGCAGCAGAGGCGAGTGCGGTGGCAGAGCGAGCAGTGCTAGAGGAGCAGGTGGTGGCTCTGAAGGAAGAGCTGGAGGAAGCGCAGGCCATCATTGTCACTCTCTCCCAGGCGAAAGCTGATGCTCAGGTGAAGCCACAGGAGTTCGGGTGGGGCGCTTTTTGTAGCCTGTCTGATGCTGGGTCCGGAAATGAGACGGAATATGTGGAAGAAGAAGAAAAAAGAGAGGGCTTTGTCCCGCCCTATTGTTTCCGTCCTGCCCTGCCTGAAACATCTTGTGTTTGTACTCCTGAAGCTCAGTGATGCCTGGCTGGTGCTTGCAGAATTCTTTGCTGAGGAAGGAGGAGGAGATGGAGGTATTGGCGCGGCAGTGGCAGCATCAGCTGGCAGAGCACCAATCAGAGCTGCAGCAGCTGCAAATCAAACTCCAGGTACCCCCCCCTCCCCCCCGCAACTCCCACCCCCCCCTCCGCCCGGGTGTTTCCACTGCTGCCGCCATCACAATTGTCGTCCCACTGCTGCTGGGGCTGCTACTTCTGGTGCTGCCCTTGCTGTTGCTGATGCTGTTGCTGATTCTGTTGCTTTTTTTGTCTGGGTCTACTTATGCATCTCGACAGAAGTGTGTGGCAGTCTTTGTTCTTTGTTCTCCTACCATTCCCATGAATGTCGTTTGTCTCTCCCCTCCTCTCGTCCAGTCTCGTTTCTTCCCAATCTCTAGGCGCATTCCCTCCATCAGAACCACCCAAAGTCTGTTTCTCCTATCCAATTGCGATATTTACAGGAGTCCCAGAAGCAGCTGCAAGAACAGCAGCAGCAGCAGCAGCAGCAGCAGCAGCAACAGCAACTCGAGTCCCCTGCCCCATCGCCTTCCCTTTCCCGGGCTGCACGACAGGCAGAGCAGGTGGGTACCACGGGTGATTGCATGGTCAATGGCAGAAGTCCGAATGTTAACCTGATCAAGGCTCTTTCTTCATCTGGCATGGCTTGCATGTCAGCCCACAGCCGCTCATTCCCCTCCCATACCTGCAACTCCCAACGCTCCCACACCCCTTCTGGCTTACACAGTCTACCCAATCGATGTCTGATCTGATTTCGTGTTCAACCATGTGCTGACCGTGGGTGTGGGTGGGCAGGAGATACGGCAGCTGCAGGAGGAGGTGGAGCGGTGGAAGGAGCACTCAGCAGAGCTGGCGAGGGAGAGGATGGACAAGGAGGACGAGCTACTCGCCATGCAGGAGGAGTGGAACAAAACGGTATGTCACTCTGCCTCTGCCCGCCCATGCCTTCCCGTGCCTTCCAGTGCCTTCCCGTGCCCAATATTCCATCAGTTGCTAAGCCAGCTGCAGTTTCATGCTTCATCACCTCTCGGTATTCCCAATACCCCCCGGCCCCTTTCCTCTCCCCGCCCCTTTTCCACTCTTCAATCTCTCTCCTGTTCCGCTGCTTGGCATCAGGAGTCGGAGCTGCGTGTGCGGCTGACCCAGCTAGAGGCCGAGCGCAACCACTGGCAGAAGCAGTTTGCCGAGGCGTCAACCGGGCAGGCCACTGCCTTTGCCTCCGCGTCTTCTGGAGCATCTGCTGTGGTGACAGCAGAAGGCACAGGCGGAAACGGAGACAGTGGTGACAGTGGTGGTTTGAATGGCAGTGGAGGTGGAGATGGGGTGGAAGCTGCAAATGATTTGGTTACAGGAGCCGCAGAAGCTGGAGCAGGGGAAAAGACTGATGAGGGAATAGCCAAACCTTCTGATGCACTCACAGTGGCAGCAGGGGGGGGGGCTGGGGTAGGAGCAGGAGCAGGAGCAGGGGCAGGAGCAGGAGGGGGAGGGGGGAAGTCAGAGGAGTTGGCAGCAGTGCAGCAGGAGCTATTGGTGTGCAGGGCAGAGGTGGCGCAGTTGAAAGCAGCAGAGGAGAGGCTGAGCCATGAGGTGCAGTCGCTAGGGAAGGAGAAGCGGGAGCTGCAGCGAGAGGTGGGGTCGCTGAATGAGGAGCTGCGGACGGAGAGAGAACTTTCCGCAGAGGCTGGGGTGATGGCCGAGCAGGAGTGGCAGAAACGGCAGGAATTGGAACGGGTGAAGAGGGACTTAGAACGGCAGCTGGCCAAGGCGAATGCCGCTCCGGCTACCACTCCTACTGCTGCTGGTACTCCTGGTGGGCCTGCTGGTGGCACGCCGGCTGCTGTGGGTGATCACAAAGCAGGAGAGGGAACACTTAAAATGCAGGGGAAAGGGGCAATCGGGACAGGTGGCGCAGCAGGGCAGGGTGGAAATGGAGGAGATTCGGGTATTTTGCCAAAGTCTCTGGAGTCTGCCTTTGATGGGGCAGCAGGCACCAGCGACCTCATCCATGGAGGAGGAGGAGAAGGAGAGCCGAGAGGTGATTCAATGGCAAGTGGTTCCTCCGGTGATAATGGTGCTGGGGGTGGTGGTGAGGCCGGGGCTGCAGAGGCCGCTGCTGCTCTGCGGGATGCACAGTCGGCATTGGCAGCGCTGCAGCTAGTGAAGGAGCAGCTGGAGCTGCAGGTGAAGGCACTGAAAGAGCAGGGCGAGATGCTGCAGCGGAAAGCAGAGGCTCTACAGCAGGAGGTGGCAGTGCTACAGAGAGAGGTGCAGGAGGGGCGGCACAAGGTGGCAGAGGCGAGGGAGGAGCAGACCAGGGCGGAGCAGGAACGGGACAGCGAGGCGATAAAGAGTGCGTTCAGCCGCGTGTGCCTGCAGCTGGTAGGGGAGGCGAAGGAGAGGGTGGAAGAGGAGGCGGCGGCTGCAGCAGCACTGGTTGCATCGGCGAACGAGAGGGAGAAGGCAGCGGAAAAGTGCCTGTTTGCGCTGCTGAGTGAGGTGGCGCGGCTGGTGAAGGTGCACGAGGTGCAGGCGAGGAACAAGGGCGCTGCATACCACAGGTACCGCATCACTCTCGCGGACATTGAGAGCGTGAAGGAGGATCTCCAGGAAGTGGTGAGGAGCGTAGAGACTCACGCCGCTGTGGCCGAGAGAAGCCGCGTGAAGGGTTGGTCCGGGACAGGCTCGGAACTTTCCGGCATGGCTGATGCTATCGCTGCTGCCTCTGCTGCTGCTTCGGCTGCTGCTACGGCTGCTGCTTCAGCTGCTGTGTCTGCTGCTGCTGGTGCGTCGTCGGTTGTGGGAGGAGGAGGCGGGGGAGGAAGCGCGGGAGGGGCGGATTGGGCAGGGGCTCAAGCTCGGGGAGCGCAGGTGCAAGGCAGGGACGAGGAGCCTGCAGCCAGCGCGCTGCTGGCAGAGCTACTGGAAAAGGAGCTTGAAAGGGTGATGAATCGGGTCGCAGAAGCAGAGAAGCTGCAGGCGTCGATTGAGGCGGTGGTGGCGGAGGAGAGGAGGCTAGTGGAGGATGTGCAGCGAGACCTGCAAGCGGTGCAGGCGAAGCTGGTCGAAGCAGAGATGATTCGCGAGCAGGCAGAGGCGCTGCGAGAAACAGAGCGGGTCCTGAGCAAGGAGATTGAAGAGGAGGGCAAGGAGGCCAAGGTGCGGGCTCTGGAAGAGGAAGAAGTGGAGGGGAGGATCATTGCTCTAGAGGCAACAGAGCAGGTGATACGAGCAGATCTGGAGGAGAAGAGCCTGAGGCTGAGGCAGATTGACCGAGACCATCCGGATCTGAGCGCGGCTGTAAGCATGGCAGTACCAGGGGAGGGCAGTGCAGCAGCAGGGCTGAAGAAGCTGTTTGCTCTTGGGAGGGCGGCGGAGCCTGCAGTTGTGGTTCCGGCGTCGCTGTCTGCTGTGGCGAAGGAGCGAGCGAAGCTGCTGGATGAGATACGCGTGATGCGGGAGCAGCTGATGTGGACGCAGTCGTCGCTCATCAAGGCTCGGCAGAGACTGCCAGAGCTGCATCAGGTGCTGCTTGCATCGCCTAGCTCTCTCTCGTCATCTTGTTGGCATATAGACACATTTGAAGCACTTCAGGTGCAGAAGTCGGTGCCTGGCTTTGTTGCCATCACATACACAGTGGTATTTTGTGATTTCTCTTGGGTACTGTAGATTTGTCGCATGTGTGCACAAGGTGTTCGCATGCAGTTTGTGTTTGGTATGTCTTTTGGAGGTCCCTCACCCGCGCACTGGCTTCACTCTCACCCACCTTCCCTGTCCCCTCCACATGCTTCAACACTACTCTATGGTCGGGTTGCATACTCTCCAGGAGGCAGTGGAGTGCCGGCGAAGGGTGGAGAAGAAGGAGAAGGAGGCAGTGAGGGTCAGGCAGTGGCTTCGAGACCATGCCGCTGCTGTTGGGGGCACAGGGGGGGGAGAGACAGGAGGGGGTGGGGCAGGAGAAAGAGCAAGGGAAGGGAGTGCAGGAGCGGAAGCAGTGTCGAGAGGGGGTGTTGGAGGAGGCTTGGCAGGTGTGGTGGGAGGGATGCATGGTGGGATTGGAAGCGCTGCTGGTAATAAAGAAGATGCAAGCAAGAATATTAGCGGTGGTGGCGGTGTGTGGGGATGGTGGCAATCTGTAAGTGGCAGACAGAAGCTTGCGCAATAGACTGCCTTAAACTTTTTTGCTGTTGCCTTCCTTGCAGACTATTTACCTTACTTCTTTTTGCTCTCCCCTTCTGATTTCCTTCTTTTTCTCCCCTCCATTTCATGCTGCTTATTTCCCTGCCCTTTCCGTCTCCTGCCCTTTGCTGTGCTTATTCTCCCTGGAACAGAAGAATGAAGGGCATGCATCCGGCTCTCCACGTACTCCTCGTGCCACCGCAACTGGCTCTTTAGCTTCTCCTGGTGCTGCCAATACCAGTGCTTCTGTTGCGAGTGCTGCAGCTTCTATAGTATCTACTGTTGCCGGTGCTTCCACAGCTTCTACACAAGCACCACCACCTGCAGCAGCAGCAGCAGTTGTCACAGCACCTCCTGAAACACAGCAGGCTCCATTGGGAGAGGATCCATTGGGAGATGAAGTGGTGGATGCAGGGACAGGAGGGATAGCAGTGCACGAAGGGACAGAACTATTGGGAGGCCTTGAAAACGGGGAGCAGGAGGATGGGAACATGGAGGATTACGAGGAGAAGGGAGATGGTAATATTGGAGAGGGGGAGGATGATGACTATCATGAGGATGATGACCAACCGAACGAGAGTGTGCGGATGGTGGCTTCTGCGCTGGAAGGTAGTCCTGCGCCACAGGAGGAGACATCAGAGGCAGTTGATGAGGTCGTTGATGCGATTTCTGTAGCATAAATTAAGTGGTACTAAAATAACACAAAGCAGAGGGCATCTTTGCTCAAATTGCTTTTGCCCCACGGAGGAAAATGGTGCACCTTTTTTTTGTCAGTTTAATGCTTGATTTTGTGGATGGAGCTACTGCTAGATTTTCCTATTGCTGAACTGCCTGAGTTTGCAGAAAGATAGCAGAGAAACACTCAGTCCCGAACAAGCTACACCACAGAATTAGGGTCTTGTTGAGCGAGTCAACTATGCGGTGTCTTTCGTGGCAGTTCCCTGGCGACCCCGTTGGGAGAAGCCCACCGGTGCCTCACATCTGTGCTCGACAGTGGTGTACAGTGTTTGTTCCAGGTTACCGTAACAGACCATTTGAGCAGATTGATTTTCAGGGGAAACAACACCGATCGGGCCCTTTCGTCGTACAGGTAATGCTCACCTCCTGCACGCGAAATTGCCCTGCACCTATTAGATGCCCTGCCCGCCTTGACGACGTGCCCTAGAGGTTGCACCCCAGGTATAAGCCCCCCAACCAACTTGCCGCAAGTTTCGTAAACTCCAAAACACCTGAACAGTAGCATAAAACAGACCCAGTCAACCAGAGTCTGCCGTGTTCCTTGGCCAGAGACAAACATCGCGAAATGACAGGCTCAAACTCCGCCAACGTCGCAATTCACTTCGCGCATGACTGGGTGCCACGTGGGGAGGTTCATGGTGCGTATAACACATCTTAGGAGAGGTGCATCGATGTGACGTGTACCATGCACCTGCTCGGTATAAACCCAATGACGACCAAGCGTTGTTCAAAACGCACACGTCACAAATAGTGGTTGTGGTAACACCCCCCCCTTTTGCCCACAAATCAAGGCCCCCTACATGCAAACTTCCTAACAATGGGTCAACCAAATTCCTGTTGCAAACGCACCGTCGTACCCACGCTCCAGCACACCGCAACACTTCAAAAACCATAGCTTTCTCCCACAACATTCATTCACTCCCGCATGCTATTCCAGCATGCCTCGCCTCTACCACCGCAGCCAGTTAGCTGTGCACATCAAGCGGGCGATATGCGCCCACCATGTCGCCAATCCGCAGCTGCGCCACGTCGACCTCAGCCGCTGGTGCTTCACCCGCTTCGGCATCAGGCCTGATCGCAGCACGATTGGCCGCGTGCTGAAGGCGTCCGAGCGTTGGGCACGCCCTGCATCGGACAACAACCTTGTCCGAGTGCGCGGCGGAGCCCATCCTGAACTCGAGCGCGCAATGGCGCGCTGGATCGCCAATGCAGGCCCGGCTGGTGTGCCGCTGACCTTGGCGACGATCCGCGAGCATGTCGCCAACATGGCTCGCGGCATGTCGCTGCCTCCTACCTTCCGCTGCTCTATTGGATGGGTCCGTCGTGCCTTGCGCCGCCAGGGTGTAAGGTGCATTGCGGCTTGTGGCGAGGCGGCCGACCAGGACCTCGCCGCCGTCCGTACGACTCAGGAGAAGCTGCCGCAGCTCCTCATGCATCTCTCTGTCAGGCCGCGCGACACCTACAATTTCGACGAAACCGCCATCTACATTTCGGTGCTGCCCCCCAAGACGTACGGCGCCAGCCGTGTGGCGGGGAGGAAGGAGGTCAAAGACCGCCTCACCGTCGGCTTCCTCGTCAACGCCGACGGCACTCACTCCTTCCGCCCGTTGGTGATCTCCAAGGCTAGGCGTCCCCACGACTTCCGCCCCGACTTCGACCCGGAGGAATTTTGCTACTGGCGCAACACCGCCAAGGGGTGGATGACCTCACCGGTGAGTATTAATTTGTTGATTCTTTCCCGTGTTCAAACACAAGCCTCGGTTTCAAGAAAATGAGTACTAACTCCTAACACCACTGTCACACCCGACTCCCATGGCAGCTTTTCACGCTCTTCATTGAGCAGCTGAACGCCACCATGTATGCCGAGGATCGGCACATCGTCATTCTGCTCGACAACGCGAGCAGCCACGTCCTCACCTCCGGCGGTGCGACATCCGAGGATCTCTTGGCTTCCGCACGCGCTCGCTCTCGAACGTCCGCCTGGTGTATCTCCCTCCCAACACCACCTGCTTCACCCAGCCCCTCGATCAGGGGCTCATCGCGATGGCGAAGGCGCGCTACCGGCAGCATTGGCTCCGTGCCTTCACCGCTCGCTGGAATGCCGATGGCGCAACTACCCGCCTGGCGCGCTTCAAGCCCAATCTCCGCGACGTCGTGGCCTGGCTCAACGACGCGTGGATGAATATCGAGCACCGCACTATTCAGAGGTGCTGGTGGCGCACCGGCATCCTCCCGCGTGCGTGGGCAATGGAGCTTGCTCACGTGGGCGACGACACCGCTGGAGCGGGCACGGCCGCGGACATCGTGCTTGACGAGGAGATTGGGGACGTAGGCATCCTCATCGATCGCCTCGGACTCGGCACGAGCGCCATGCCGGCCGCAGAACTGGTTGCCATCGACGACAACCAGCCGACATGCGCGGAGCCGGGAGAGGATCCGCTCGCGACCGAGCCACCGCGCGGCACCTCCGCTGAGACGTGGGAGGCCCCCGCCACCATGCAAGCTGTCTATGACGACAGCAACCCCGAGTCACGCGAGGCACGGCGCTACGCTCGAGCGGCCTCCGAGATGCTTATTGGCTACGCGAAGGCGACATGCATCACCCCGCGCGACCTGTGCGCGCTCTTTGACATCTGCAACCCCATCATCAGGGCGCGGATGGAGCACGCCAGCCCGCCGATTAACCTCAACATGAGCCCCCCGCCATCCGCGGCTGAGTGCGCGACGCCCCCGGCCGAGACACCTCGTCGCCGTGGCCGCGTCCTGCCCGCGTGGATGACGGAGCCCACCCCATCGTGGGTGACTCTTGCCCAGCAGGCCGCGCGCCGCCAGGAGCTGATTGACGGTGGTGCGCCGGCCGTCATGGGAGGTTACATGGCAGCAGCCGAGTGGATGCGCCTGTGAAGGGGTTGGATTCCCCTCACGAGGAGTTTGAATCTCCTCCCTGGTGAAATGTGCACGTCTTGTGCACATTTCACCGTTCTGAAATTGTTGACGGGGAAATAGCACGAGTACAAGTGGGTGGATTTCATTGGTTTGTGGGTTGGTGTTGGTGTTTGTCACAAACTGGGTGAAGTTGTGTACTCGTTTGCTATAGTGGACATGAGAAAAGAGTGGTAACCGCGCAACTTACCACCAACAAAATTGGCCGCCCGTTACTGTTTGGGAAAAAACAAACTTGTAACCTCCTGTTTTTTTTAAAAGCACCTTATGGCTGCGGCGAAAACCGGCGAACAAGGCGAATAGACTAAACCACTTATAAGCCCAGAGCACAGACAAAGTAGGGTGCGCCAAACGAGCATTACCTGTATTGTGTCAGAAGAGAAAGGAAACAACAGTCCAGACACTTGTTTTGCAGGTCAGATTTCGTTTTTTTTCCCCTCCAAGTCCAGCAATATTGGTCTATTGAGGTTTCAAAAGCCCATTATCTTTTATCCTCTAGCCACATAAATCGAAATATTTTATGCGCAACGGGCATATCACAAAAAGGAAAAACAGGGTGGCTGTTCACGTTCAGAACCATGCACTGCCGAGCGGAGGGCAGCAGCCCAATCAGAGCGGAGGGCAGCAGCAGCTGCAGAGCGGAGGGCAGCAGGAGCTGCAGAGCGGAGGGCAGCAGCAGCTGCAGAGCGGAGGGCAGCAGGAGCTGCAGAGCGGAGGGCAGCAGCAGCTGCAGAGCGGAGGGCAGCGGCAGCTGCAGAGCGGAGGGCAGCAGCAGCTGCAGAGCGGAGGGCAGCAGCAACTGCTGCAGAGCGGAGGGCAGCAACAGCTGCAGAGCGGAGGGCAGCAGCGGCTGCAGAGCGGAGGGCAGCAGCAGCTGCAGAGCAGAGGGCAGCAGCAGCTGCAGAGCGGAGGGCAGCAGGAGCTGCCCGATTGGCTGCAGCTTGCGAGGCTGCCAGAGGGGGAGATGGAGATGGAGTCGAGCAGACAGGTCTTGCCGGCGTGTTCGAGTGGAGAGGAGCACCCAGACCCTATGCTGACACCCCCGCCCCGCATCCCGTGCGAAACCTGTTATCGCACTTTCACGGAGAGAGGAAAGGCCACGCGTCATATGTCGGCCTGCAGGGCAGCGGACGCCCAGCGTCGTGCACAGGCGCTTGGGTTGACCCGCGACGTCACAGACGACTCGGACAGCGAACCTCCGCCACCACGGGATATCAGTGAAGAGGTGTGGGCCGCAGTTCCCACATGGGACTGGGAGTCGTTTTTCGGGATCGAATTGGTGCCAGGGAGAATCATGCGTCGCATCCCACAGCGCGCAAGACTGGGGGTGCTTGATGCACTAGCTTGTATCCTGAAGCGGCTCAAGTCAAAGGCAGCAGACGAGGCGGCATCCTTGGTGTTTTTGGCCTTCCCTCGTCTTTTCTTGGGGATTCCAACCGGGCAAGGCCAAGGGCAGAGGGCGGCAATTAGGGAGCGGTTGGAGAAGTTTTGGGCTGGGGAGTGGCAGCAGCTGTTTGAGTTGGCGGTGGCGGCGATGCAACCTGCGGCTCGCCCCTTGTCCTTCACCCCACCCGAGCACGATCCTGATGCAGTGCGCCTGTCCCGCTGCCGTACAAGGTGCAAAGTGGGGGAATGGAGTCGGGGTTTGGCGTGTCTTACCGCTGGTAGCATCGCTCAGCCCTCTCAGCACATGGTGGACGCGCTACGAGCGAAACACCCATCGTGCGAGACCGCCATTCCTGGGTGGGTGCAGGAGGAGACAGTCGAGCCTTCCCTTATCCCACAGCTCTCAGTGGAGGTACTCGGTCAGGCGATCCACTCAGCGGCTAGGGCGTCCGCACCAGGACCGTCGGGGTGGGTGACGGAGCACCTGCGCGACACTTTTCTCTCTGAGCCCGCGTACCTGCCCCATCTGCTCGAGGCCTTCACCCAGTGGACCAAGGGAGAGGTAGCGGAGCGCGTGCGACCCTGGCTCACTGCGTCCAACCTGGTGGGCCTGTCGAAGCCGAATGGTGACGTTCGCCCGGTGGCTATAGGCGAGGTGCTCCCCCGCATACTATCTCGGGCCATATGCATCGTGCTTCGTCCGAAGATGATGTCGCACTTTGCTCCGTGTAACCAGTTTGGAGTCGGGTCCAGGTCGGGAGTGGAAGTCCTCGCACATGCCTTTCGCTCCGCCATCTCTACTCACCCGTCGTGGTGCGCGCTGCAAATTGACGTGGCGAACGCTTTCAACTCCTTCCATCGGCGGGAAATGTTTGAAGGTCTTCGACAGTCGCCTTTCAAGGGATTGATTCCATTCCTGCGTGTCTTCTATGGCACTCCTAGCGACCTCTATCTCCGTGCGGGCCCTTTTGTCGAAGCTTTGGCCTCCGAGCGGGGCTCGAGGCAAGGGGACCCATTGGGTCCGTTTCTGTTCGCGTTCACACAGCAGCTGGTTATGGAACCAACCAAAACAGAGTTCGCCGACTTACTCTTCCTCAGCTATGCTGATGATACGTATATCCTGGGGCCTAGGGAGCGGGTTTTAGCAGCCTATGAGGCCTTGCGGGAACGATTGGACGGGCTGGGTTTGGAGGTGCAGCCGCATAAGTGTAAGCTATGGGAGCGAGGGAGGAACCAGGATGGGGAGGAGAGAAATGAGACCGTCCCGCCCGGCATGCAGCAGACATGGACGGGGCTCACTGTGGTAGGGGTCCCCATTGGGGAGGAGGACTGGGAGGTGGCTAGCCTGCGTCGCCGGCTGACGGAGCTGCATGCACCTGTCCCTTGGCTTCCTCTGCTTGACCACCCACAGATTGCGTCCCATTTGCTGGCGATCGCAGTGTCAGCGCGCCCGATTTACCTCACACGGACGATGCCTCCACGACCTGAGGTTGTGGAGGCTTTTCGGGACTGGGACATGAAGCTAGAAGATTGTTTCGAGGAGCTGTTTCCAGATAGTACCTGGGATCACGATTCGGGGAAGTCTCAGATGGCTCGTTTACAGCTGCACCTTCCTGCCAGACTCGGGGGGTTTGGCATTCGATCTGCGGCTGACCTTAGTCCTCTGTCGTATGCATGTGGCTGGTGCCAAGCAGTGAGCGATGTGGCTCGGTTGGGGGTGGCAGGTGAGGAGCGGATGTTTGAGGAGTTTTTCCGCACGCCCGAGGCTACGACCTTGTTGGACCCCTGGTTTGCGAGAGCAGTGGATCTGCTTCCACAGTCGGTCCGGCAGGAGATGCCACCCCTTGCCTTGTGCACTGCTGACCCCCCTGTGCTGCTCTTCTCCACACAACACCGTCGCCTAGCGGTTGAGAGCCTTCAATCTCTTCGAGGCATGGCCCACAACGATGCCACCTTGGCCCGTTTGACATCCCTTCAGGGCCCGGGGGCTGGGGCGTGGGTTTCTGCCGTTCCTTCGCACGAGGAGGCTACCTTCACCGCAGCCGAGTGGAGCATCTGCGCGTCCATGCGCTTAGGCCTCCCTATACAGCAGCTGATAGTGGCCGGCAAGTGCGCGTGTGGGTTTGAGTTTGCTGATCCCTCTGACCCGCATCATGCCCTTCGCTGCAAGTATCAGTATGCACCTTCTCGTGTTCACGATGCGGTTAAGTTTGTGGTGGCGAAGATAGCTAAGGGTGCGGGTGGGATTGTGACCATGGAAGACGACACGTTGCTCCCAGGGAAGAGGGTTGATGTGGCGGTTCGGAAACTGAGGGAGGGGGAAGAGCACGCGTTGGAGGTTAGTGTGGTAGACCCTATCTCGCTATCCGCGCAGCACCATGGACAGATTGGGCGCAAGGTGGGTTTTGCCGCGAGAGAGAGAGAAAAGCGGAAGGCGGCGGACTACAAATCGCTTCTACAGCGGCATAGGGGAGTGCAGTTCACACCTCTCATTGCTGAGACATGGGGATGCTTGGGGGGGAGTTTTGGACGGTGGCTTAAGAAGCAGGGTGACGCGCAGATCGAGATAGCAAAGACGAAAGGGGCGGCGCGAGCTACGGGAAAGGGTTTCTCTGCTTACTTGCTCGGTTCACTCAAAGCGGCCGTGGGTGTGGCTTTGCAGCGGGCTCAGGCGCGTGTGATCTTGTTACGCGCGGCGTCGATGATGAGAGGTCCAGAGGCTGTTTGGGTGGAGCGGGAGGATGTTGAGGAGGAGATGGGATGGGATGCTCCGTGGGCGGATGCACCCTACTTGGTAGACATGCGGGTTTAGAGGGTGGGTTTAGGGGGGGTTTTGGTTCGATGGGAGTGCAGTTGGGGTGTTTTGATGGGATGGTTAGATGGGGTTTCAATTGTGTGTGCTATTGGGGTTTTCTTGAGGTTGCGTCTTGTGTTTTTTCTTCCTTTTTCCCGGTTTTTCTTCCTCCTACCGTTTTCTCCCTATTCCCTTCCTTCTTTCTTCTTCTTTCCTTTTTTCTCCTCACGTTATTCCTCCTTTCCTCTTCTCTTCCTGTTCCCACTCAATTTCCTTGCGTAATTGTGCTACATTGTAATATCCGGATGAAAGACAGGTTGGATGGGGGCAACACAGGCAGGTCGAATTGGTTCCGCCCGACCAGATTGTGAAGGCAACAATTCATGTCGCAAATGCCACTTTATTCTAGCATGCATCCGCTCCGCAGCACTCTTGCTCCAGGTCGCTGTAAAAAGGCCACTAAATAGGCGCTTGGCCTCGTTCTCTTCGTTTCTTCTCCAGTCGACATCGACCTGCTAAAAAACCCAGCCAATCCTATCTTGGAGCGATCTAAGCCATGGCTCATCGTCCCGTTCCTCGATTGTTCACAGCCATCCTCATCCTGTCCCTCCTCGTCACAGCGCGCTCCAGCAAAGTCTTTTATTCTCTCACAGTAAGTCACTTCTCGCTAAATGTTTCACACCAGGCCTTCCACGCCCAATGCCGCTGGCAGCGGCGTTTTCTCCCCGTCTCTTCGCTATATCTCATCCTCTCCACCTCTCCCTCTTTTCAACTTCTCCCCCCGATCCTCGTCATTTCCCCTCGCTCCTTCCGTCACCTTCCATCGCCGTTTACCATAATAATGGTCCTCTTCCCGCCCCTCATAACTCTCCCGCCCATTCGACACCTCTTTCTCTTCCTTGTCCCCTCTTCCCCCGCGCCGCCTCGGGAATTCCGATCGCATCGCCACTATCATAATCGTCGTCGTCGTCGCATCCCCACCGTCGCAGCGGTACGAGCAGACGGGCAACGCCATCTGCCTCAAGGCGCGCGACGACAATGCGGCGGCCGCCACGCAGAGCGGCGCGTTCGACCTCAACTACGCAGACATCATGTTCGCCGGCGTCAACCCCGGAGCCTCCAGTAAGCTGCGCGCTGCCGCAGTAAACTCGCGGCGAGTCTTCTCCGCCATTTCTAGTTACATTCAGTGATGTCCAATGCTACTGTTGCAAGAATCAGCCTCATCAGTTTATCATCCAAATCTCTTCTCCATCCTAGTTTCCACTGCTCAGCTCCATTTTCTTCCCCCTCCTCCTCACCCTCCCTCCCTCGCGACAGTCAGGGACGGCAACGGCATCTGCTACGACAGCGCGGCGCCGGACAGCGCGTCGTTCCTCGATATACAGTACTACGTCAACATCACCTCGTTCGGCCGCACCTACATCGCGTCGCTCCCCACGCGCCTGCTGCCCGCCGCCATCGCGCAGGCCTCGTTCAGCGTGAGCGTGTGGTGGAACCGCGTCACCGGTGCGGACGACAACAGCGGCGGCGGAGGCAGCGGCGGCAGGGGGTCTGACGGCACTGCTGATGGGGGTGCGGCAGCGGCGGCGGCGGCGGCAGCGGCGGCTTCTGCGGCTGCTGTTGCTGCTGGTGCGGATACGGGCGAAAGCGGGAGCCTGAGCGGTCAACAGCAGCAGCAGCAAGGAGGGGCGGATGTGGTGGTGCTGAAGGCGGTGAACAAGGCATCAAAGCCTCTGGACGTGATTGGCGCGCCTACCCTCGTGACTCTCGACCCCGCTGACTCCCCCAAACTGCCCACCACAGAGACTGTTGCGGTAAGTTTGGGATCTCTTACGGTAACTCCCCACGCCTCTTCCCTCCCTTGCATTCTCTCTTCGCTCACCCACGTCTCTTCCATTGTCACCTCCCCCCACCCATGCACTCGCGAACCCATACCACAATCAGCCCCCGTGATTCATCAACCAACTCCCCTTCGCCAAATATTTTACCCTCGCCCAACTCCTCCCCCGTTCTCTCCTTTCCCCCCTTCCTATATTCCCACCTTCTCCCCCATTCCCTGGCCCCCCCGTGCTTCCCACACAACCCCATCATCACCACACCCCCTCGTCTCCCATGCAGGCCCCAGCAGCAGCCTACTCGCTCCGGTACACCACATTCGACATCGCCCTGCGCTACGTGCTCCCCAAGTACCTCACCCCAACCTACGCCTCCAACGGCCAGCTCTCCTTCGCTCCGCGAACCTCCCAACCAGGCGCCTCAGGCGCGGCCGCCATCCTGTTCGCGTCGGAGCGAGACGCGGTGTACGCGGGCGGCGTCACGTGGATTGTCTCGTACCTCGTGCATCGCCCGGACCCGTCGCCCTCGTCCGTGGGCTTCCAGTTTGTTCTCTTTGAAGCGTCCTTCTACCAGCCACCGCCCAATGCAACGGCCTCCTCGTCCTCTGCTGCTTCCGCTTCCTCTTCCTCATCCTCTTTCTCATCCTCTTCCACGTCTGCTTCTGATTCTGCTGCCGTGGTCACCCCGAGTCCCACGGCGCGGCGGTTGCTGCTGGCGCAAGGGGCGGCAGCAGACTGCAGTGGGCTGGTGTGCCCTGGGAGGACTGACTCAGCGCGCTCTGGTGCTGCAGCCTTCGTATGCCGGCCGCGATACCCCTGTCCCCTGGGCTGCACCCCTGGCAAGAGCAGTTACCCTAACTGCTGCCTTGCCTGCTCTGCTTCATGAGAGTATGCATGGCGAATATTCTAGTTGATCATTGCTGTCAGCAGGCCACCAGGCCAACTGGCCAGCACACCAGCGGGCAAAAAGCTCAGCAGTGAAACAGCGCAACAGAGGGTCACCCGCCCGCTGGTCTGCTTACCACCTACAGTACGTCGCCAAGTCTCATCGACGCCACTTCGCTAATGCTTCACCCCCCTGTAATTAATATTTCGTTGTTACGTTTTTCTCGGCACGTGCGAAATGGGCGGCCTTTGGTGGCTACTGGGGACGGTTCATCGGCCTGGGCAATGCTGACTGACACACCTTCGTTGACAGGCTACCGTATTTATGGCCTTCATCGACCACACGCATTTGTTGACATCAAGGATGGCCGAGCACAGCTTTCTCCATTTGTCACACTTCGTTGTTGTACAATTATGCGTTTAATGTATTACTGACCTTTTGCTAATAAATTATCCAGTTCAGTGCCAGTGAAAGGAGTGGTAGTAGTGGTCAATATCTGGATTCAGGAGCATAGTTGAAGTGTGTACAATGAAGGGGTGTGGGGTGGTGTGGTGGACAGATGATGTGCATTGTGACATATCCTGGATTTACGTATACTCGTGCAAAAGCGCACGGTGAAAAACTGGAAATATTAACGAGGCACTCCGTATGCAGTCGAGTTCCCAAACCCCACTTCCCCCAAGCCACCCCCCACTGCTGCGCAATGTGCGCGCGCATGCAGACCTTCAACACCAATCTCTTCTCCGCAGAATCCCCCCATCGATTCACGGATTCCTCGAATCCGTTCCTCCCAATCAATCTTTCGCCCACCAGCAAGCTTTCGCGCCTCTTTCGCCTCCATCCTCCCATTGCTATGGCTCTCGCTGCCGTTTCCGCGGGCCTCTCTTCCCCCGTCAGCTACTCCGTCGGCAACCGCGCCGTTACAAACGGAGCCCTGTCCGCGTCAGCGTCCGCCTCCCCGCTTTCCATTTCCGCGACCCGCCGCGCCTCTGCTGCTCCGCGGGGGTCCTCGTGGCTGCGCGGGTCCCCCGTGCAGCTTCCGCCGCGCGGGATTTCGGCGGGATCTCTTGGAGGAGCGGTTAAGCCCGTGCGGAGAGGCGGCGGAGGGGCTATGACCGCGACGGCGGGATTGGGAGACGCCGCGGGGTTGACGGCAGCTGCGTACGGCGCTTCTCTGCTGTTCGGAGGCCTCTTCGCGTGTGAGCTGCGCGCCGCGCCGAGCGTCGATCGGAGCGCCGAGCTAAGCGCCTCGCATGTCTGGCGCCCTGCAGTCCTGTGCCTTTCTAGAGGCGCCTGAATTATCCTGAAATTTCCGTTTTGTACGGTCGGTCCATGGTCCGGAATTCGTTTCGCCTGCCCCCCCTCATTCTCCTCTCTTCCCGTTCCGTCACCCCCCAGACATCCGCACGGGCAGCAAGTACTCGCTGGGAGGCGGGCTGACGGGAGGTGCTCTTTTCGCCACGGTGCGTTGAGAATCAAACCACCATGAATTAGCGCGGAACCAGTGTTCAAGCAGCACCAAGGCAGCGTTTCCCCTTCAACTCACAGCTATTCCCATGGTCCGGTCGTCTATGCCATACAATGCACTGGCTTTCTGAAAGCGTCTTGGCTGTGGCAAGACCATCACACGGACCAGACGGTGTAACTGCACCAGTCAATTCCAGTCAAATTCCAGTCAGGTCAATTCCAGTCAAGTCAACCACATCGCCACGCTGGTTCAATGACGGCACCATGCAAGCAGCCAGCCTGAGCAATCACTCAAAACAAGCAATGCCCAATGCTTGCCGACTCTTCTCGTACAGCCTCCTTTCTCATGCTAATACCTCCCCTTTTGCACTCGCTGTCCTCCCCACCCCAACCCCTCCCTTCCCTCATGACTTTCCGCTCCTCCCCCCCCTCCCCACCGGTGATGCATGGCATGCACAGGCCTTCTATCTCATTCAGAGCGCTCAGACGGAGTCCCTGGGCAACGCTCTGGGCTTCGGTGCTGGCCTGCTCTTCTGCGCCCTCTTTGGTCAGTCCCAGTCCCCTTCCATCAGTCCATTCCACTTAGCACACTCTCTTCTTCCTCCCACCCATCGCATCTCCCCCCTCCCCCTCTCTCCCCAACCGCACACTCCACCAGCTTCTCTCACCTGGCCATACGATCACTTCGCCTGCCTCTCATCTCTATTCCCCAACAGCCTCCACCCCCTCCCACCTTCCCCACCCGCTTCGATTGCCATATTATTGTTTTTTGTTATTCTTGTTTTCTTGCCATTAAATTGCCATATTCTTCTCTCCCTACTCTTAAGGTATGTCCGCATGTGGAAACGATCAAAGTACATACCATTCCCTTCCTTTTCCGCCTCTCACGTGCCTCCCATCAACCTACCGTATCCACCCGTCCCTCCCACCACTAATACCACCACCACCACCACCACCACCACCACCCCAATTACCCTGCTTTCACATCCCCCCCAGCTATCCGCCTCTTCCTCACGGGAAAGCCCATGCCCGCCGCCCCTCTTCTTGCCTTCAGTGCTGCAGCAACTGCTGTTTTTGCATCCGCCTACTTTGGCGCGTGATGTACAGGAGGCATTTAGGTTCTGTTCAGGATACGTGCGTTTTAGGTACTGTACATTGGTTTGCGATGTACGCGCAGATCAGCAAATGGGCCATGTAGGAGGTAGGGTTGATTGCAAATGTGGTGCTCATCTGAATTTCACAGCGTGCACCACCTCCGGAGGAGCCTCAAAATTCACTACCTCCTCTGTCAGTAACTACAGTACCAGTGATCCGCCTACACCAAATTACAATTTGTAGTACCAGCAAAACGAGTCACCTTGTCCCTCTGCAGATGATGACTATCTTATCCATCCTAATATCCGTGCCTCTGGAGAAGAGAGTAAGCCAAGCAAAATGCACACAACCAGCCAAGCATATACCTGCTTGGCTCTGAGAGAACTCCCCACTATGCACAACCGCACACTTGCTCCCACGAACACAGCCCACGCACACAGAGCCCACACACACGCACAATTCTTAACAAACCACGGTGAACAATGAGCGCACAGCACACTCACACAGCCTTCCCCCCTCCTTGGCCCATCATGGCCTTGAAAAACTGGACGCCCTTGGAGATGGGGGAGTCCTTGGCAACAGCAGCATACAGCACCGTCTCAATCCTCTCTGCATCAGGGCGGGTGGGCAGCGCAGTAAGCGGCCGCATCGCACTCTCGCCCTTCTTCTGCGTCAGTAACACCCACGGCACTGGACCTCCCGAGCCCGCGCCTGCACTTGCCCCTGCGCCCGCATCAGCTCCCCCCACCACGCGCATCAGCGCGCCCTCGTTCCCCCCGAACAGCCCCTGCACGGCCAGCGGCATGAAGCAGTACACCACGTCGAATTCCTTCACGAAATCCGCTACTAACGAGGATGGAATCTCGGAATCAGCGGAGGCGGCGGGCGCGGAAGCCCAGGCGGGGTTGAGGAGGAGAACGGGCGTGCTCCCTGCGCTGTTGAGCACGGATCTGACCTTCCCCGCTTGCGCCTCTGTGGGGCCTACTATGCACACGAGCGCCGCGTCGCGAGGCACTGACGGGCGCTCATCCAAGCTACCTATGTCCCACTCGATCTCTGCCGCGGCTGCGCGAGATGACCCTGATTCTGCAACTCCTCCTCCTCCTCCTCCTCCTCCTGCTGCTGCTGCTGCTGCTGCTGCTGCTGCTGCTGCTGCTCCTGCTTTGTCTTTATTAGCGCCCGCCGCTGCGGCGGCTGCTCCAGGGCCGAACAGCAGGGATACAGCGCATTTCTCGGCGGTATTTCCGCCTACACTCGCCCCTTTCCCCGCACCCCCCCGCCATTGCACCAGCCCAACGGCTCTCCGCACCAAGTCCTGCGCCGTTCCCGCCAGCACATTGGGGGAGTCGTCTCGCAGCGGAATTTCCACCTGAAAGCGCCCGCCGGCGGAAACCGCTCCCCCTCCCCCACCCCCTCCGCTACCCCCCTTACCGGAAATCTGCTTGCGCTGCTTAAGTGTCATGGGCTCTGCCGCGCGAGATGCGGCGCGAATTGCGACGGCCACGCACTCGCCGGCTTGGCGGAGAGCATCCTCGAGGGATTCCGGCGGGGTCACGCGGGGGATAGGCGGCGGCGCGGCTTTCGCGGCAGGGGCGGAACGAGTTCCGGAGGAGGAAGGCGAGGGTTTTGTGGAGGGTTTTGCGGAGGACTGCTTACGCGGGCGTGACTTGGCCTGCGCGTGAATTGAGAGGCTTCGGTGTGGATTTTCTCTGTGGCATTTGCGGTCGAGGCCGGAGGACGCGAGTAAAGGAGAGAGCGTGAGAATGCGGCGAGACGAGAGGTGGTGCGAAGGAGTGCGGGATATCCGCGAGTCGATCCGAGCGGTCGTAGGGGCCGCGATTGCGTAAGAGAGACTGGATGAGGTGGGTAGCCGCTGCGCCATTGGTAGGGTGGCGGACATTCAGGAATGTGCTGGCAGCTACTTGTTTCACCTCGCAGCTCGATAACCGATTACTGTACATGCTATTTTTTTTCCAGGGGCGGGCGCGATGTGTGTAGAGGAGGAGATTTTGAGAGGAGGATTTCATCATATTTTGTTTCGTTCGTACATACCGTACCTATGTCTTGAATTGCGCATTCAGCAATATCGCGTCCTCTAAAACGGAGACGTGGACTGGAAGCTTCTACTCAAGCTTCTCGGTCAATGGCAGGGGTGGGGGGGAACGGGTGGGTGGGTGCGGTGCGGCGGCGTTGTGGTGCGGTGGTGGCGGGCTGCACACATTTGCAACAGAGTAACTTTGGGGCACATGCTGGCTACACCCAGTTTGGAGTGAACAACCCTGTTGGCGTCATGGAAAACCCAGCAAAGAGCCACTCGCTAAACAAGCTCGCATCAGGCCTGGAATCACACCCGTTAGCCAGCGCAGATTGGAAAATGTTCAATTCGGCGTCACACACAGCTGTCTGAAGTTCCGGATTCCAGGTGGCTTCCTCCTGTCTACAGTTGCGAAGTGGGATGCAAAGTACGCACCGGGTTACATCTCGGATGTACAGAGGGCCCATGTTGACTCATCCTCACTTCCCATGTTGACGAGACAGCTGTCCTCGTTTGGTGTATGTGGTAGTTAGCGCACCAGCCGCCACTCACTGCCAACCGTTGTTTCATGCATGCAGAATCATTGAAAATGTTTCACCAAAATTGCAATATGCGGGCAGTTCGTATGTAATGAATCAATGCAAACATACGCTAGGGAATCTAGTTGTACAGTACCTGACGCTGTCTCAACCCAGAAAATACAGTCGGTGCTCATTTCAAGAACACCAGGTAGGCGGGCGGCATGTGAGTGAAACGAATTTTGGACATTTCGCCACATTCGCCCTTGTCGCCACGGGCAAAAATGTGATTGTAAAATGAAATTGGAATGTGAAACGAGTCTAGGGGTTTAAGTTCGTAACCAGGTAAACAATTCTGATGACAGGCAGCCGTTGTTGTTTATGAACTGTAGATGTTTTTCTTCCTCGACTTGGTGACTGTACCCTGAAATCAGCACAATCACCACTCACAGGCAAAACGTTCGCGAGTGACTGTTTCTCTAAATATGATAAGCAAATTTTTGTGATAGGCTGAGCATCGACTGTATACATCGGGGGCAGAATAAAGTCTCGGTCTATCCTTACATTGAGGAAAGATATCGTAATGAAGCACTTTTTACTGTGTTCCGTGTCGTGTGCCTGATATGGGGCCACTACACGGTCGACACGCGGCAGTTGGTCATCTCCAAACCAGAGCTCCCACTCAACGCCTTGAATTGGTTCGGTTGGATGCAGGCGGGACTCGGGGCGGGGAGAAGCACCTGCCCAACAACAGAACCTCCACCTTGGCTGCTCCACGTCAGCCTCGCTTACCAGAAAGCAGCAACCTCGCCCTTGGCTCGGTAAGGCCCAAACCTCGTTCCCGCGACTTCAAACACACGAAGCTCATAGAAACTCCTACCATACCTGCGCACCCCCAAGCCAGCCGAGGAAAAACCACCATCTACAAAATCCCTTCCGTTCACTAAATTTTGATGCAGTATTTGCACCTCTCTATGTCCAAATCCATCGCCCCTATCTCGTCCACTAGAACGACTCCCTCCTTTTCTTCTCCGCTGAATGATTGGTTATTCCATCCGTACTTGATCTTCTTGCTGCATTGCCGCCATTTCCAGTGAAGGCGGAACCATTCTGTTTCTGATTCAGTAGCTGCGACCACCAAGTTTGCAGTGCATCTGTGTTGTTTTTCATCTTGTTTTTGTTTCCATTTGTTTGTTTCTCGTTTTGTCGATCTGTTATGTATGTGACATTTCGTGATTGTACTTCGGGACAAGCCGTTCTTGTCACGCCGTTCACTGTCAAGCACATTCCACTGTCTCGTAGCTTCTCCATAACTAAACCACCACCTCCTCGCACTCGACACAACACTTGAACTGCGCTGTTGCGCGCATAACTACTCTTCGCGTTTGCGGCTGCATTCCCCCAAACCTAAACGCGCGTTTCTCCCTCGCCTCCTTAGCCCCAAGCAAAGCCTACCTCGTGTTGCCCGCTGATAGTCGCTGAAACTCCGGAGGCGCGACGCAAGCAGCAAGAAGCTGGGCATGGCTGCTAATACAGTTCTCTGGTGGAGCATCAAGCCTTGAATCGTCTGAAATCGAACGAATTTCAGGGGCTGCTGTGACTGCCATGTGACAGCGTGCGATCCTGTTGTGTTAACGCGTAACCATTCCCGGTGAACAGTGGTACTGTGAAATCTAAAGCCTTTTTAGGTTTCTACGTTATCTAAGCGCGTGAACCGGGAGAAGTTAGGGACACAATGCAGTCGGACATGGATTGTCCGTGCGAGAGACTCGTGGTGGCGGTCGGCAAGGATAACGGGTCGAAGGAGGCCATTCGATGGGCCGTCGCCAACAAGATTCGGTCGCCCAACGACGTCCTTATCTTGCTCCACGTCGTCTCTCGGTTACCAGGACCAAGTAAGTGCACGCCTATCCATTACCAATTCATACCTTGGTCTATACATTGCGCTCTTTAATTTTCACTCCTTTGCCTTCAAAAAAAAAAAGTTGAGAGAAAAAAACCTTATCACCAGGAATGAATATTTGCAATGTAAAGACTTAATGTCGTCGTTTTCCCACGCATCCTCTCCGTTCGCGCGTCCCCCGGCAGTGGGCACGGAGATATACCAGAGCGAGGTGAACAACACGCTGTTCGTGCACTATGTGCGCACCGTGGTGCAGCCCATGATGTCCCTCCTCAAGTCCTCCATCAGCGCCCATGTAATGCGCTCCCCTCGCCCGCCTCGTTCCCCTCGCTCCTCCGCTTGCCTCTCTCGCTTGGCCCCGTTCGTCCTCGCCTGTCGTATGTTTTGCGGATTGATCCCCCGCCGAGTTTCGCAATCCCTGCACTTCGTTTCCCCCAATCGCCCCGCATCAGCGTGCCTCCCGACCTTCCCCGTCTCCCCTATTTCTCTCGCTCTTGAAACGCTCTCAATGCCCGAGCTCAAACTCGCGAACACCCTCACGCTAATCTCCACGCTGATGCTCTCAACGTTCTCACGCTCACGCTCTCACGCTCACGTTCTCGCGCAACGTGCGACTTGCGACTCGTGATTTGCCAGGTGAACGTTCAGATGAAGCTCTCGCGCAACAACCATCGCGACAAAGGAACTATGGAGGAAGCCCGCAACCTGCGCGCCACCACGCTCGTTATCGGCAGCAACGGCCGTTCCTCCCTCTTCTCCTCGTAAGATCCCTTTTTCCTGCTTCTTGGCTTTTTCCTTCGGAATTCGCTTCCCCATCGCGCCCCCCTCTCCCTCACGGGAGGCTTTCTTATGCGACGCTTCTCTCCGTTCCTTGAGTCGACCTGTGCCCCATGCTCGTCTCAAAATGAAAATGCGCGTAGTGAAATTTCGTAACTGACTACAGAAAAACAATAGTATGTATGCACCTCAGCTCGTTCGTTATCCCTAAGCGGATAACGCACAGTGTGTGCACTGATATTTTCTTTTTAGTCAGTTTCCATTTCGTGAGCCTCTTGATCCCCAGCCTCCATAGTTTCCGTATCCGTTTCAAAATAATCTAATATTGTGGATACCATTTCCCCCATCTCTTTGTCATGCACTGGTCGAATCATGTTATCCTTTTTTTTTCTCCTTTTCTTTTTCTTTTCATTTTCATTTTAAAGTCCCTACTTAAAGGGATTGCCTAAAGAGCCAAGCAAAAGTCCCACAATTCCCCATACCTCCTCTTCCTCTCCCTTTCGCTCCCCTTCCCACCCGCCCTTTCTCCTTCCCCTCCCTTACATCGCTTCCCACGCTCCTTCTCTCCCCCCAGGAAGCCCAAGGTGTCGGCCTTGGGGCAATACTGTGCCAAGTACCGTCCGTACGGCATGGCGGTATGCGTGATAGACAAGGGCGGCAAGCTCGTGCTTTCCAAGGAAGCCGACGCGCCTTCCTCTGTCACCAACAGCGGCAGCCCCGCCTCGTCCGGCCGAGCCTCCGGCCAGATCAGCCCCGGCCAGTCCGGCCGATTCCAACGGCAGGCTGGCGGAGGGTCAGGCCCGGGAACCGGGACGAGCACTCCCAGCAGCATGGATGGCGGCGGGGGATTCCCAAGGAGGGCGGGAAGTGCTGCTGGGGGCATGAGTGGCGGCATGGGTGGCGGCGGCGGTGGGAGTTTTGGTGGTCGTGGCGGTGGGTCGATGGGTGGGACACCGGGGGCGTCGGGTGTGCTGGAACCCACGTACAGCGGAACGTTTGGCGACGGCTCTGATGGGGCCCCGCCAGGTGAGCGAGTGGAGATGACATGGTTCTTTCTGCTGATCTGCTGCTCTTGGTTGCCATTGCCATCAGAATGTTGCTCGCTTTCTCGGTGTTGCCCGTGTTGTCGTGAGAGCTCTTCCTTCCCCCCTTGATATTCCACCCAACGTTTTGTGCTGAGAAAACGAAGAAGTTGCAAGGCAAAATGCAGGAGTTCTTTTGTGTAAATTGGCCTGAACAAGCAGGAGGAACCCCTTCCTGGGTTCACTCGAAAGCCCTCCTTTCTCACTCCCAAAAACCTCCCCCCTCTCTCCCCGCCCCTCCTCTCCCTTTCCCCCTCTCCCCCACAACACCCACGGAAAAAAGAAAAACGAAGAAAAAACTCAACAGAACAGAAAAAGAACAAATCAGAACAGAATCAGAATAAGATGTGCCTCACTGAACTTTATCCAAGCACCACAAACACCCAAACCCATTCCTCCTGAACCCATTCCTCTCATCCTTTTCCCCTTCCCTTTCCCCACTCTCCCTCCTTCCCCACCTCTCCCCCCCTCCCCCCATCAGCCTTGGACCCTCTCCGCACCTCCCCTGCACACGCCCTCAACCCCTCCCGCCCGCCCTACGCCTCAGACGCGCGCGCCTCCCCCTCACGCGCCGCCATGCCCACTCCCCCGCTCGACCCCGGCGCCCCCGGTCCCCTGCGCCCCTCAGGGCTGGGCCCGCGCGGATCCATGAACGAGCGCGCCATGGGGGGGGGAGGGGGAGGGGGAGGGTTCCCCATGAGCGCCAATGGCAGCGGCACCATGCTGCCAGTGTATGGGTCCCAGCCAAGCATGGCGGGCGTAGGCATGGGGGCCCCAGGCATGGGTGCGGGTGCAGGGATGGGTGGGGGTGGCGGGCCAGTGGGAATGAGCTCATCTGGTTCCCCCAGCACCAGCGGATCCACCAATCTGCTCCTCTCCGGTCGCCGCTTCCCCCGCGCCGGCTCCTCAGACTCCTCCCCCACCTCCTCCGCCTCCTCCCCCAGCTGGAACCGCCCTGGGGCCGCCCCTGGCGGCGGTTCTACTGGGGGTGGTTTCCAGCAGGGACAGGCGCAGGGGCAGGGACAGGGGGGGATTCAGGGGCAGGGGGGGATTCAGGGGCAGGGGGGGATTCAGGGGCAGGGGGGGATTCAGGGGCAGGGGGGGATTCAGGGGCAGGGGGGGATTCAGGGGCAGGGGGGGATTCAGGGGCAGGGGGGGATTCAGGGGCAGGGGGGGATTCAGGGGCAGGGGGGGATTCAGGGGCAGGGGGGGATTCAGGGGCAGGGGGGAGTGCAGGATGCAGTGGGAGTGGGGCTGGCAGCAGGGCTGCAGGGGGAGGCGCTGGAGGATTTCGTGGCGTGGAGGCGGGGCAACCCCATGGCGTCGTACGTGCAGCAGCAGGAGTACATTCTCGATGCCCACAGGCGCATGGCTGCTGGCGGCGGTGGTGGTGGTGGTGGTGGTGGTGGTGGTGGCATGATGACGATGCAGCAGCAGCAGCAGCAGCAGCAGTGGAAGGGGCAGATGCCAGTGCTGACGCATATGAACTCTCTGGGCTCTGGCACGTCTGGCGATGAGGCTAGTGTGAGTGCCCACTTGCTCGCTTTGCTTGGCTTGGCTTGGCTTGGCTTGGCTTGGCTTGGCTTGGCTTGGCTTGGCTTGGCTTGGCTTGGCTTGGCTTGGTTTGGTTTGGCTTGGCTTGGCTTATCTTGGCTTGGCTTGGTTTCGCTTGGATTGGCTCACTCATTCGCAATCTTTTTGCGGATCTTGAAAGATCGACTCACCTCACCTCAGGCTACGAAGCTAGTGCGGTGCGGGCCTTGGCGAGTCCACTGGAATGACGTCCTGAGCAAGAGGACTTAGTTTTGAAACCACTGGAAACGAATCCACGGGAATGTGTTTCTGAAACCACTGGAAAGAAAGACGACCACTGGAAAGACGACCACTGAAAAGACAACCACTAGAAAGACAGCCAAACCACTGGAACATCTTGTTCCAAACCTCGCCCCCTTCTCTCTTCCCTGTCTTCTCTCCACGTCCTCATCTTCCCATTCGCCCCTTCCTCTTCCATTTCCACTTCCTCCGTCACCCAATCACTCGACCCCATCATATCATCTCCCCTCTCACGTGCTTCTTTCCTTGATGTTTCCCTTTCTCCCTCATTTCCTCCCTCGCGCTCGCCCACCCACCACTCCTCTCTATATCTCTCCTTGCCTCTCCCTCAATCCCCCTCTCTCCCCTCGCCTCCTCCCTCCATCCCTTCACCTTTCGTCCTCTTCCCCCATGTCCCACCCGTGTTTTGAGTCGTCTCAAAACATGTTCCACCCCAGGACGACCTGCGCAAGGAGCTAGAGCGCATGTGCCTGCGAGCAGTTTTGACATGCCTCAATTCTCCCTACTGTCTTCTCACCTTCCCCACCTCCTTCCCCCCCAACCCCCCTCCCCTCCCTTTCCAGGACGACCTGCGCAAGGAGCTAGAGCGCATGCGCCTGCGCGCCGCCGAGGCGGAAGCAGCCCAGGCGGAAGCAGAGCTGCGCGCGCAGCGGCTGATGCTGGAAGCGCAGTCGTCCGTGCGGCAAGTGGAGGCAGCGCAGCGGCAGAAGGAGCTCGAGACGGCCGCACGCGTGGAGCAGGCAGCTCTCGAGGCGCTCACGGCGCAGGCTGCAGCGGAGGAGGCGCGGCGCGCTGCAGAGGCAGAGTTACAGAGGAAGGACGTGGCGAGGAGGGAGGCTGCGGCTAAGGCTGCGGAGCTTGAGGTGCAGGCGAAGCGGCGGAAAGAGGCGGAGATGAGGGCGCTGAATGGTGGTGTTGGCGGGAGCTCTGTGGGGAGCAGTGGGAGCAATGGGAAGGGCGGCAGCGGAGGTGGATCGGGGGGTGCGGGCACGGGAGCGGGAGGGGAGGGTGTGGAGGGGAAGGAGGGGGAGGGAGAGAGTGAGGAGCGGGCTGTGGTGCAGGAAGGGCCGTTTGTGGAGCACACGTGGGAAGAGATGAAGGTGAGGAGGGGTCAGGGGGTGGGAATGGAAGGGAGGAGGGAGGGAGATGGTGAGGGAGAGTTTGTTTGATGTGATAAATTGCTCGATGAGAAATACGTGCTGCGCATTCTGTAACTCACAGATCAACTCACACTGCCTATTTTTGTTCTCCTTTTTACTTATTCTCTCTTTGTGTGTGTGTGTGTGTGAGAGAGAGAGAGAGTGTGTGTGTGTGTGTGTGTGTGTGAGTGTGTGTGTGTGTGTGTGTGTGTGTGAGTGTGTGTGTGTGTGTGAGTGTGTGTGTGTGTGTGTGTGTGTTCCCTTTCCAACTAGCTGTGTACCTCGCGTCACGCCTTCTGTGTTTCCCCTCTCTCGTCAACCCCCTACCCCTCTCTGCTCTCTACCGTCCGCTCCCGGCTCCCCACCCCTCTCCACCGTGTCACAGGCGTGCACGGAGGGCTTCAGTGAGCAGCGCAAGATAGGAGAGGGAGGGTTTGGCACAGTGTATCTGGGCACGCTGCACCACACACCCGTGGCAGTCAAGGTGCTCAAGAGCCGCGACCACCACAAGGCCAAGTCCGAGTTCCGCCAAGAGGTGAGACGACCCTCCGCCGCCTGTCTGCACGGCTGTCGGCACTCCAATGCAGTGCCCTCTCCTGCCCTGCCCTGCAAAGCAATGCGGTCGCTTCAACCTGTGCTGCATTCCCCCACCCCGTGCCTTTCTCGTTGATTTGCTTTCCTCGTTTCTCCCTCGCATGCTAGGCTCCCCACGTCTTGCCATTCCCCCTCATGCTTCGCATTCCAACACCTCGTCCATTCCCTGTAGACAGGCGCTTCTCACCCAAACCCCAACCCCTCCACCATTCCTCCTCGATCCCTCCCCTTTCTCCCATTTCCCTTTACCGATCCCCACTTCCCCTCTCCCCTCCTCCTCCCCCATGCACACAGGTGGCGGTGCTGAGTCAGATCCAGCACCCGCACGTGGTGATGCTGCTGGCCTGCTGCTCGTCCCACTTCTGCCTTGTCTACGAGTACATGGCGGGGGGCAGCCTCGACGAGCGCCTGCGCTGCACCAAGGGCACGGCGCCGCTCCTCTGGCACTCGCGCCTGCGCATCGCAGCAGAGGTCGCATCCGCCCTCCTCGTCCTCCACAACCGCCCCGTGCCCATAGTCCACCGGGACCTCAAGCCCGCGAATATCCTCCTGGATAAGAACCTAGTGGCGAAGCTCGCAGATGTGGGTCTCGCCAGGCTCATGCCCGCAGCAGACGACTCCTCCGGGAACGGCAACGCCGTCATGCGGACGTACGCGCGGGAATCCGTCGCTGTCGGCACCTTTGCCTACATGGACCCGGAGTTTCAACGCACGGGGGAATATGGCCCGAAATCCGATGTCTACGCGCTCGGAATCGTGCTGCTGGACCTTCTCACGGGCCTGCGTCCGAACGCGTTTGAAGGGCTGGAAGATGCGGTGGACGACGAGGACGAGGAGGCTCTCGCGGCTCTCCTGGACAAAACCGCTGGCGACTGGCCGGTGCCGTTGGCCATGGAGCTTGCAAAGATGGCGCTGAAATGCTCCGAGATGCGCAGGAGGAGCCGGCCAGATCTGGCGACGGTCGTGATGCCGGTGCTGGAGAAGGCGCGAGAGGTGGCTGCTAAAGTGGAGGAGGAGATGGAGGGGAATGCGTGGCGCGCCGGTAGCTTGCCCAGTCCGCACAAGCCGGCTAGCTGCTTCTTCTGCCCGTTGACCAAGGTATGGGGGTGGCGGGGGGGATAGGGGGGGAGGTGTTGGGGAGGGAGGATGGGAGGGAGGAGAAGAGGGGAGAGAGGAGGGGATGGGAGGGGATGGGGAGAGGCATTTGGTTGTGGTGAGGGGGAATGGGAAGGGAAGGATGGTGGGGCTTCTCTGGTGCTGAAGAACATTCCGGATTCTTGAATGCTGTTGGTCTCATCTCATTCGTCCCTTCATTCCCCTCTCCCTTGGCCCTCTCACCATCTCGTTTTTCCCACTCCCTCACACTCCCCCCCCCCCCAGGAGGTGATGCAGGATCCAGTGCTGGCAGCGGACGGGCACACGTACGAGCGCGCAGCGATCTCCAAGTGGCTGGCGGAGGGCAACAGCACATCGCCCATGACGCACGAGGCGCTGCCCAACACCGATGTCATGCCAAACCACGCCATCCGTGCCATGATCACCGAGTGGCGCTCCGGCAAGTAGCGAGGGGCGCAACGGTGCAAGTACCGTAGTGCGTGCACGAGACGAGGCGGGACGCAATGCAAGTTCCGGAATATATGGAATTCATCAAGGGGAGGGGAATGGTACAAGGGCCAGGAGCATAGGGGTTAGGGATGGGGACGGGGATGGGGATGGGGATGGGGGGGACAAGGACGGATGGAAAGAGCACGTATATGGAGTGACAGGAGGTGGCAGGGGTGATTCAGGACTGATTGGTGGGCGGGATGTGTAGGTTTGTGCTTGGACTATCTATCTATTTAGTCTACCTGGTTTGACATACTATTGGCGAATTCATTTCGTGGTGCCCTGATACCATATGACCTGGTGCTCAGCATGAGTGAGTGGACCTTTCATTATTGTAACAATACCGTAGTTTGTTATTCCATTATCAGTGCCTACTTATGTACTCCTGCAATGGCCAATGTGGTACCGTAAATTGTGTAGTAGTGTGAATAGGAGCGCAAGAAGGGTACCGTACAAGGAGTTGGTTGGTTTACATGGATCAGCTCAGTGCAACCCAGAAGGTTCTTTTGGGACACAACACAACACAACACAATGGCATGAAGAGGGTGAGAAAGTTGGAAAAGCTACAAGGTACGGTACATTGTGAATGCTATACAGAACAAGTTTTGAACTCACATCCACCAGTGCACACAGAATCCAGAGTATAAAAGCCAAGCAACCCTCTGAATCTGATCCCTCTCCACCACTCAATACTCCTGCATGACTACGGTATACCCGTAGGTTCCACAATCCAATCCTCCAAATGCCAGCCAACCACTGCTTCTCTGTCTGAATCAGCTTCATGTTGCAGGGCATCTCAAATCCGGCATATGTTACGGTTCAAAAAGCACCAACCCCAGTCCAGCAAATTGACTGAGCAGACCATAAATGCACCTACAGAAGCAACCATAAATGCACGGACTGGCGGCGACACTACATAAATAGGCAGGCCCAGGCCTGCAAGCTTAAAAGCTCAGTCAGGCACATGCGTATACAGAGAAACCATGGTGGGTAGCACAGCGGCGAGCTGGGTGGGGCCACTCCACTCCACTCCACTCCACTCCACTCCACTCCACTCCACTCCACTCCACTCCACTCCACTCCACTCCACTCTACACCCCGATCTCAACCAGCAGCAACCTCCCATCCACCACCACAAACTATCCTAACCCCCATATTCCCGTCCCTCCGCTCCCCCCCTCCCCGCCAATGCGCGCTCACGCCTCATCTCCAGCCCCAGCCACCCCCCCCACCGCCCATGCCGCGGCCGCCGTCCATTTTGCCGATCTGATCGCGCCGGCTGGGTCCCAGCAGGCGACCCTCCTCGTGCTGCGCCCTCCCTCTCGCGCAGGGCCTGGCGGTGCTCCTGCTGCGCCTGCAGCAGGCGCTGCTCCTGCTGCGCCCTTATCTCAAGCAGCAGCAACCTCCCTCCCATCCACCACCTCAACCTACCCCCCTCATATTCCCGTCCCCTCCGCTCCCCTCCTCCCCGCCAACGCCCACTCACCCTCATCTCCCGCCCCAGCCACCCCCACCACCGCCCATGCCGCGGCCGCCGTCCATCTCACTGATCTGATCCCTCCGACTCGGCCCGAGCAGCCTTCCCTCCTCGTCGCCCTCGCGCTCGCGCAGCGCCTGCCGGTGCTCCTGCTGCGCCTGCAGCAGGCGCTGCTGGTGGTGCAGGTGGTGGTCGTCGTAGCGCAGGAACGTGGGCTGGCTCGTGGAGGAGAGTAGCCGCGCCCACATGCGGTCCGTCAGAGACACTGTGTTGCTCTTCTCCGATACACACTGTGGTTGGGGAGGGGGGGGAGGGGGGGCGAGGAGGGACAGAGGGACGCAGAATGGGAAGGGACCGGGCAGGGGCAAAGGGAATGGGGGAAAGGCAGTGGAACAGGGGGAGTGGCAGGGGCATAGGAGAGACGAGGGATGAGGCGGGGTGGTGCAGGTGGTGGTCATCGTAGCGCAGGAGCGTGGGCTGGCTCGTGGAGGACAGCAACCGCGCCCACATGCGGTCCGTTAGAGACACTGTGTTGCTCTTCTCCGATACACACTGCGGTGGGGAGAGAGGGATGCAGGAGGGAGGGGCAGGGGACAGTGGGAGGCAGAGTGGGAAAAGGGCACGAATGGGGCGTTGGGTTTGGGGTGGTGCCCACATGTGGCCCAAGGGGCAAGGGGCACAAAGGAAAGGGTACAGACGGAAGGGCCCAAGAGCGCACGCTGGAAGAACTCACCAACAGCATTAGGCAGTAGCATTAGCCGCAGCAACAGCAGCAGCGGGCGCACACCTTGATGGGGATGTAGGCATGGCGGCCGTTGATGGGGCCGACAGTGAAGCCAACAAAGCCTTTACAAGTCGACTCAAAGATCACCACCAGCAGTGACAGCACTAGCACTAGCAGCAGCAGCAGCAGCAGCAGCGGGCGCACACCTTGATGGGGATGTAGGCATGGCGGCCGTTGATGGGGCCGACGGTGAAGCCAGTGAAGCCGGCCATGGCGCCGTGGATGGCACTGTGTGCCAGCAGTGTGCAGTAGATGTTGTCACTCGCATTCGCTGGCACCGCTCTAATCATGTACGTGGGGTCTGGTGCACGGCGGAGGGAAGGGGTGGGGGAGGGGGGGAGAGAGGGTGGGGAGGAGATGGGGAGAGGGCGTTGGAGGTATGAAGACCACAGGTGAGGTATTTCTTTTGATCGACTCAGAAGTATGATGTAATTGTGGACGGTGGGGAGGGGGGTGGGGGGGAAGGAGACGAAGGGCGAGGAGGGAAAGGGACGGCGGGAGACGGATGGAGGTGCATGGCATGTGGTTGAAATAAGCACAACACAAGGCAACAGCACCAAACAGAGATTTGGATTGCAACGAAGAACGGGCGTAGTAGATACATTGATGGAAGTGACGTGAGTGTGTCCATGTGTATGCATATACTAAGTGAGTGTATGCATGTGAGTGGGGAAGGATCAATTGAGGCGCCTCAAACACGTGCATGCATGTGGAATGTGGCACAGGCCGGCACGCACCAATGTATTTGAGGTTGAGCTCGATGCGAGACTTGGCAAAATGGGCCTGCATGTGATGAGGGGAGATCCAACCACCCATGCACCCATCCATGCACCACCAATGCACCCAGCCATGCACCACCCATGCACCCAACCATGCACCCATCCATGCACCCATCCATGCACCCATCCATGCACCCATCCATGCACCCACCCATGCACCCATCCATGCACCCACCCATGCACCCACACATGCGCTCAATCAAGCACCAAACCAACCACTCAACCAAGAAGTCAAACCAAACAGAGCGAAGAAAACATTGTTGGAAAAATTATTCGGGAAACAAATTCAAATGCAGGGAAACGAAATGCATGAAATGAGGCAACCCACAAACGGCACTTCACAATACACCCCATCCCTTCCTCCCTTTCTCCTCCCAATCCTCTTTTGCTACTTTTCCATCCATTACTAGCCCATTCCTTTGTCCCAGAACATCCCTTCACATCACTTCCACCCTCCCACCTGCACTCCCAGATTTCCTACCTACTTCCGTCTCTCCTTCCTCCTCCCCCCATCCCCTTCCACTCTCCCATCCGCCTTCCCCATCCCCATCCCCTCCCACTCACCTTGATCTGCTGGGACAGCCACAGTGCGATATCCATCAGCCTCGCATTCCCCGACTCGTCAGTCAGCCCCCTCCTGCCCATCCCTCCGATGTTGCAGGTGATGTTGCAGGTTGTTTTTGAGAATTCTAAAAACCAACCTGTCCCATCCACCTTCCCCATCCCCATCCCCTCCCGCTCACCTTGATCTGCTGGGACAGCCACAGCCCGATATCCATCAGCCGCGCATTCCCCGACTCGTCAGTCAGTCCCCTCCTGCCCATCCCCCCGGCCGCCGTCGCCATCCCCCCCGCCGCCGCCGCCACAGCCGCCGCCGTCACCGCCGCCGTCCCCCCGCCCCCCATCCCATCCATCCCCATGCCCATGCCCATCCCTCCCCCGCCCCCCATCCCCGCGAGCGCGCTCGGCGACGACGCCGACGGGAAGGGCGCAGACGCAGCAAAGGACGAGGAGAAGGGCGCAGGGTTGAAGGAGGAGGGGGATGGCTGGAGATCCAGAGCCTCAGCCATGAGGTCTTGCCCGGCGCCCTCTGCCACGACGAGCACGGCGTGGCCGCTCTCCCGCAGGCGGCGCTTGAGGAACTCAAAGAGACCCCCGTCGCCCTCCAGGTGGAACGGCACTTCCGGGATCAGGCAGCAGTCCTGTGCGGTGCGGTGGGGTAGGGTGGGTGGGGCAAAGGCAGTGAGGGAGCAGTGGGGGGTGATGGGGCGCAGTTGGGTTTGCGAATCAGGTGGAATGGAACAGCACGTCGGGCATTCCTGGCATGAGGCAGCAGTCCTGGCACTGGTCGTGTGGGGGAGGTGAAGGGGGTGCTGGAGTTGGGGGGGGGTTGTGGTGTGCGGTTTGTGACAGGGGTGCACCGTGCAGGCGAGGGGGAGGGGCAGGAAAAACGCGAATGGAACATGAGGATTGAGTTGAGGCGTCTGAGGTGGACTGACGGGGGGTAGGCTGTGGAAAGAGAGTCGCCTCAAGGGATTTGTGGGGTGGTTTAGGGGCAGTGAAGGGAGGGAGTCGAGCCGTGCAGCATGGGAGGTCAATTGGTCTGATTCAAACCCACTCTCATTGGATTCGAATCTGATTCGATTAGATGTGATACGTACCACGTCCCGGCTGGCAAGAGTTGCATGCATGGCGATTTGACCTGCTCACACACAGCACAGGCATGGGAAAGCAGGAGTGCAATGCGGAGCGCGATGAGGTGAGGAGCGAGATCAGGTGAGGGACAGTGGAGGGTGGATGGAGGAACACAGGTCACAGCGGAGACAGCAAGTTAACAGTTAGGCACAGGAAAGTCAATAAAACCACACATAACAAGCCAGAAAAGTCGTAACGACAAACAAGCCCTTCCATAGTCCCCTCTCCCCTTCCCCCCTTTCCAACTTCCCCCCCTGAACAAACTACCCCGCCCCCTTCTCGCCCCCGGATCTCCCCTTCCCTCCTCTCCTCCTAACACCAACTCCTTTCTTATCACAAAAAAGCCCCATGAGCTTGGCAAGCCCCATGAGCTTGGCAAGCCCCATGAGCTTGGCAAGCCCCATGAGCTTGGCAAGCCCCATTCCCAGCACCCTGTCTCACCAAACGAGCCCCCTGACCACACCACCACTCCCTGCCTCCTAACCCACGCACCCTCTCCCCGTTCCCCTTTCCACCTTCCTCCTCCCCTTTCCCCATTTCCCCTTCCCCCTTTCCCCTTCCCCCTCCCCCTGTTCCCCTCCACTCACCGCAGAAGCGCCCCATGAGCTTGACGAGCCCCACGCCGTTGTGCACGGAGCTGGCCTCCACGTGCGCGGCGTTGATGGCGCGCTGGGCCTCCTCCACGGCGGTGTCAAAGCCAAACGACTTGTCGATCAGCGCCAGGTCGTTGTCTATCGTCTTCGGAATGCCCGCCACTGTTACCTTCAGCCCCCGCGCTGCTATCTCCTGTGGGAGAAGGGTTGGGGGAGGGAGG